GATCGAGACCATCCTGGCTAACACGGTGAAACCCCGTCTCTACTAAAAAAAAAATACAAAAAACTAGCCGGGCGAGGTGGCGGGCACCTGTAGTCCCAGCTACTCGGGAGGCTGAGGCAGGAGAACGGCGTAAACCCGGGAGGCGGAGCTTGCAGTGAGCTGAGATCCGGCCACTGCACTCCAGCCTGGGCGACAGAGCGAGACTCCGTCTCAAAAAAAAAAAAAAAGAAACGTGATGTAGTCAGGCTCTGTGTCCCCACCCAAATCTCGCCTTGAATTGTATCTCCCAGAATTCCCACGTGTTGCGGGAGGGACCCAGGCAAAGGTAATTGAATCATGGAGGCCAGTCTTTCCCACACTGTTCTTGTGATAGTGACTAAGTCTCACAAGATCTGATGGGTTTATCAGGGTTTCCACTTTTGGATCTTCCTCATTTTTCTCTTGCTGCCACCATGTAAGAAGTGCGTGTTGCCTCCTGCCGTGATTCTGATGCCTCCCCAGCCATGTGGAACTGTAAGTCCAATTAAACCTTTTATTCTTCCCAGTCTTGGGCATGTCTTTATCAGCAGTGTGAAAACGGACTAATACAGTAAATTGGTACCGAGAGTGGGGCATTGCTGAAAAGATACCTGAAAATGTAGAAGTGACTTTGGAACTGGGTAACAGACAGAGATTGAAACAGTTTGGAGGGCTCAGAAGAAGACAGGAACATGTGGGAAAGTTTGGAACTTCCTGGAGACTTGTTGAATGGCTTTGACAAAAATGCTGATAGTGATATGAACAATAAGGTCCAGGCTGAGGTGATCTCAGGTGAAGATGAGGAACTTATTGGGAACTAGAGCAAAGGTGACACTTGTTATGTTTTAGCAAAGAAACTGGTGGCATTTTGCCCCTGCCCTAGAGATTTGTGGAAATTTGAACTTGAGAGAGATGATTTAAAGTATCTGGCAGAAGAAATTTTTAAGCAGCAAAGCATTAAAAAGCTGACTTGGATGCTGTTAAACATTCCATTTTAAAAGGGAAACAGGCCGGGCATGGTGGCTCACGCCTGTAATCCCAGCACTTTGGGAGGCTGAGGCGGGTGGATCACCTGAGGTCAGGAGTTTGAGACAAGCCTGGCCAACATGGAGAAACCCTGTCTCTACTAAAAATACAAAAATTAGCCGGGCATAATGGTTCATGCCTGTAATCCCAGCTAGGGAGGCTAAGGCAGGAGAATCACTTGAACCTGGGAGGTGGAGGTTGCAGTGAGCCAAGATTGCACCACTGCACTCCAGCATGGGTAACAGAGCAAGACTCAATCTCAAAAAAAAATTTTTTTTTTGTTAAAGAGGAAAACAGAGCATAAAAGTTCAGAAAATTTGCAGCCTGATGATACAGTAGTAAAGAAAAACCCATTTTTTGAGGAGAAATGTAAGCCAACTGCAGAAATTTGCTTAAGTAGGAAGGAGCCTAATGTTAATCCTCAAGACCATGGGGAAAGTGTCTCCAGGCCATGTCAGAGACCTTCACGGCATCCCCTCCCGTCAGAAACCTGGAGGCCCAGGAGGAAAAAGTGGTTTTGTGGGCTGGGCCCAGGGTCCCTGTTCTGTGTGCAACCTAGGGACTGGGTGCCCTGCATCCCAGCCTCTCCAACTGTGGCTGAAAGGGGCCCAATGTAGAGTTCAGGCTGTGGCTTCAGAGGGTGGAAGCTCCAAGGCTTAGCAACTTCCACATGGTGTTGAGTCTGTGGGTGCACAGAAGTCAAGAACTAAGGTTTTGGAACCTCTGCCTCAATTTCAGAACATGTGTGGAAATACCTGAATGTCCAGGCAGAAGCTTGCTGCAGGTGTGGGGCCCTCATGGACAACCTCTACTAGGGCAGTGCAGAAGGGAAATGTGGGGTTGGAGCCCCGACACAGAGTCCCTACTGGGCCACTGCCTAGTGGAGCTATGAAAAGAGGGCCACTGTCTTCCAGACCCCAGAAAAGTAGATCCACCAACAGCTTGCACCATGAGCCTGTAAAAGCCACAGACACTCAACATCAGCCCATGAAAGCAGCCAGGAAGGAGGCTGTATCCTGCAAAGCCACAGGGGTGGAGCTGCCCAAGACCATGGGAACCCACCTCTTGCATCAGCATGAACTGGACATGAGACCTGGAGTCAAAGGAGATCATTTTGGAGCTTTAAAATTTGACTGCCCCACTGGATTTCAGACTTGCATGGGCCCTGTAACCACTTGGTTTTGGCCAGTTTCTCCCATTTGGAGCAGCTGTATTTATCCAATATATGTACCCTCACTGTATCTAGGAAGTAACTAACTTGCTTTTGATTTTACAAGTTCATAGGCAGAAGGGACTTGCCTTGTCTCAGATGAGATGTTGAACTGTGGACTTTTGGGTGAATGCTGAAATTAGTTAAGACTTTTGGGGGCTGTTAGGAAGGCATGATTGGTTTTGAAATGTGAGGACATGAGATTTGGAGGTTCCAGGGGCAGAATGATATGGTTTGACTACGTCCCCACCCAAATCTCACTGTGAATTGTATCTTCCAGAATTCCCACACGTTGTGGGAGGGACCCAGGCAGAGGTAATTGAATCATGGGGGCTGGTCTTTCCTGTGCTTTTCTTGTGATACTGAATAGGTCTCACACGATCTGATGGGTTTATCAGGGGCTTCCATTTTTGCTGCTTCCTCATTTTCTCTTGCCGCCACCATGTAAGAAGTGCCTTTCATCTCCCACCGTGATTCTGAGGCCTCCCGCAGCCATGCGGAACTGTAAGTCCAATTAAACCTCTTTTTGTTCCCGGTCTTGGGTATGAAGACAGTGTGAAAACAGACTAATACATCCCTGTAATCCCCACATGTCATGGGAGGGACACTGTGGGAGTGACTGGATCCTGGGGGTGGTTCTCCTCCAGGCTGTTCTCATGATAGTGAGTGAGTTCTCACGAGATCTGATGGTTTCCTAAGCATCTGGCATCTCTCCTGCTAGATCTCATTCTCTCTCCTGTCACCTTGTGAAGAAAGTGCCTGCTTCTGCTTCGCCCTCTGCCATGACTGTAAGTTTCCTGAGGCCTCCTCAGCCAGGCAGAACTGTGAGTCAGTTAGGCCTTTTTTCTTTACAAATTACACAGTCTCGGGTATTTCTTTATAGCAGGGTGAGAACAGCCTCCTACAAAAGGCTTTGGGCCCCCCCTCAGCACTTTCCAAATGTCTCCTTTTCAGGGTATCTGCCGGCGGTGCGGATGATTTACTTTCCTGCTTTCAGTTGCTGCTATTTTAAAGTTTCTTTCTATCATTGTCATGATTTTGTGTCTGTGGGGGAAGACATGCCCACTTTTCCATCTGGAAACCAGAAATCCCTTTTAAAACATCTTTAAAGTCTAAGTAACATTGGTTTGTATTCACTGTGTTTATTTTTGTAGTTCCTTGCTCTGGGGCATCAGCAGAGCCCTGTGGTTTTGAGTGTGGCCTCGACTCGGGCTGGCTGGGTGTGAGCCCAGCTTTCCCCCTGACAGGACCTTCTCATTGTTTTGTGCCTCAGTGTTCCCACCTGTGGAGTGGGAGACACAATAGCAGACACCACACAGGGTATTGTCAGGATTGAATGATACGGTTCTGGGGCACAGGGACAGCACAGCACGGGCCTCTGAGAGGGGTGCTTGTACCCACACGCTGACGTAAATGGGTCTAAGGAAACCATCGCACCGTGGGAATGACTGAGGTTTAGGAAACCATTCGGTTACACGTGGCTGAATGCAGACCCAGGTCAGGCAGTGACCTGGCGCAACCTCCAGGGAATCAGCCTCGGAGACGCAGGGTAAACCTACAGAAGCTCACCCCAGTGGTGACCATCCTAGCCCACCACCCACCGGAGCCCACCTGCAACCTTGTCAGGCTCCTGACTATCTCCAGCCCAGTCCTGGGGTGGCCGGCCCTGCTGGGCCTCAGCCAGGAGGGCAGGAGAGGCTGGAGCTTTGGAGCACTGGCAGGGACCTGGCCAGGCCCCTAGGAGCTGGGAGCTCTGTAAATGTACAGCATGGTAGCATCACTTCCTGGGCAGGGCAGGACCCACCCAAGGGCAGAGGGCAGAGGGCAGAGGGCAGAGGCAGGCCCCAGTGTGGGGAAGGCCCCACTCTGCACCCACAGCAGAGGCTTCCGCAGCCAGGCATGAGCATTGCTCTTGTCTCCCCAGGTCATGGTCTGCCTGTAACCGCCCCCTGCCCAGTAGGAGGTCATTTTGTGTCCAAAGCTCCCTCCATCCCACTGTGTCTAGGTCCTGGCTGGTACCACCTTCACTGTCTTCCCTGCCCACACCTGCAGCCCCAGCTGCCAACCCCACCCATCCCACAGGCTCCCCGATACCCTACCGTCTGCACCGGGTGCTCTCTGCTCTGGATAGAGCAATGGAAAGGAAGGGCAGAAAGCCTTGCCTGTGCGTGTGGAGGCGGGACAGGAGGCGAGCAAGCTCACGTGTGGCTCGTGTAGCAAGTGGCCCAAGGAAAGCATTCCCGGGGAGGTGTGCATGGGACGGGGTGAAAAGCGGCCCCGCAGGGCCCAGCACCAGCCTGGCAGCATTGCGCCCGCCTCCATGCACCTGCCCTGGCGGGTGGCTGCCTCCCCGCTGACCAGGCCTGGTTGCCTGCTTGCCCCACTGACTGCCTCCATCTTCCTGCATGAGCTGGTTTCCTCACACAATCCACCATACTGGAAATAACAGCCGGGGTGACCTCTGGGTCCTGGCGGCCTCCTGCCCCTCGTCCCCTGGGCAGTGCTCCCACAGCCCAAGAGTGACTCCCAGGGTGCCCACAGGCGCATGTGGATGACCAAGCGGCTCCTTGTCCCCCACCCTGCCTGGCCCTCCCAGAGGCTTCCTGGCCCCTCAGTGGCTGCTGGGCGTCCTGCACTGTCCCTTAGATGTGGCCTCCAGCCTGCAGGCCCCAGGCAAGCAGCTCACAGGGGACCCGGACAGCCTGGGAGAGATGGTAGGCAAGAAAAGACATCAGGACAGGAAACATACTCGATGCTCAGCGTTTATTTGCAAAACTGGGCTGGGTTGAGCAGAGGGGGCTTTGGGATGCCGACCTCTCTCTGACCTGGCCATTGTGACCTCAGCCCCGAGGTACCCTGCAGCAGGCAGGTCTAGCGCAGCTTCCTGGCAGCAGCCGGCCTTGCCTGGACCAGCCTGTCTGTGCCCCAGTGGCCGGATGTGGCCAGCCAGAATCCATGCTGCCTGGGGACTCTGGCCATGGCAGGGACACACAGGCCCGCACACGCTTAGCTTGTTCCAGGGCGTCCCAGTGACATCAAGGAGGGGCAAGGCCAAGGTGGGCCACAGGCTCTCCCAGGACATGACTCCTGAGTGGTGCCCTCCTGAAAGGGGTCCTGCTGGCCCCTCACCCTTCCAGGGTCCGGTTTTACCCACAGGGTGGGCAGCAGGAGCACAGAGGCACGGGGTGCCACACACAGAGGCCAGGGGGCTCCGCAGAGCAGGCCCAAGGTTTTCATGATCAGGCAATGCACGTCCTGGCTCCAGGTGGACAGAGCATGGGGATGGAGGCAGAACATCCTCAGACGGCAGTGGCCTCCTGGGCCAGGAAGCCGGGGGGGTATATGGGAGCCATGGGCGCAGGGACACAGAATGGCGTGCAGCCACACTCATCCACATGGTTGTAGGTGTGCAGGACAGTCGAGCCGTCGGGACAGCGCAAGGGCACCGTCTCCTCGTGGACCCGTCTCTCCTGGCAGCAGGTGCACTGGTGCTGCATGGCCTGGGCCTCTGCCGAGTACCTGTGGACGCAGGGGGCCCTCACATCGGCCACCTTGGCCCTGCCGTTTCTCTGCCCAGGCACACTGACGCGTGGGCCTCTGGGGTCCTGGGCCAGACGGCCGTCCCCTTCTGTCCACAGTGGCCTGCTCTGTGGGCACCTGGGGCTCCACCTTCTCAGAATGGGCAGCTCTGGGCCCCAGGGTCCCTTGGCTCCCGGCTGTCTTCTGTGGCCTGCTCTTCGCCTCTCTGAACCAGCTCCTCCAATCCTGCTGACTCTGAGCAGTCCTTGACCCTTCCTCCTGCCTCTTCTAGCTAAGGGTCAACCCTCCTGGCCCTTCCTGCTGACAGCCAGCCACAGCGGCAAGTCATGGGAGGGCTCTACAGAAGGCTCTGGTTCCGCCCACTCTCCCCGGGGGGACACCTGAACCTGGGTTCGCAGCTGGGAGCTCTGTGCCATGTGGCTCAGCTCAGCCAGGCCCAGGCTTTCTACCAATGGACGTGGAGAGGGAGAGCGCTGCTGAGGACAGCAGCCCCAGGCTTTCTACCGATGGACAGAGGAGCGGGGAGCCCTGCTGGGGAGAGCGGCCCCAGGCTTTCCACCGATGGACGTGGAGAGGGGAGCCCTGCTGGGGAGAGCGGCCCCAGGCTTTCCACCGATGGACGTGGAGAGGGGAGCCCTGCTGGGGAGAGCGGCCCCAGGCTTTCCACTGATGGACATGGAGCAGGGAGCCCTGCTGGGGAGAGCGGCCCCAGGCTTTCTACCGATGGACGTGGAGAGGGGGAGCCCTGCTGGGGAGCTCCTTCTCTCCTTCCTGGAGCTGGCATAGGCCCCCCTGACCCAGAGCAGGGTGCCAGCCAACTGACAGGCCAGGGCGGACCCACCGCACTCACCTGGACTCTCCGGGGCAGGAGCCCTCACAGAAGGTGATGTTGACCTCAGTCTTGCAGCCCTGGTGCCACAGGACGGTTGTGTTGACGCGGACCTGACAGGAGTCTGGGAGGAGGAAAGGCAGATGCAGAGCCCCACCGGACCCTCACTCTGAGGGCCTGGACCTGCTGGGCCGACCCTCCCCATAGGACCACCCCTCCCAGGGCCCTCCAGGACCAAGGGTGGAGTCTGGACGCTGGCATCACACTACTGCCCAGTGCAGACGTCTGGGCAGGAATGGATGGGCAGCGACGGGCTGGAGCTGGAGCTGGAGCTGGTGTGGGCAGGTGGATTCCACTTACCCTCCTCACAGGAGTAGCAGCAGCCGGTTTTCCTGAGGCTCCCCTGGGGGGCCAAAGACAGGGGGCAGGGCTGTGGGCGGGGCCTCCCTCCTGGGGAGAGGGAGCCACCCAGGCAGGGGCGGGGCCTCCCAGGCAGGGGCGGGGCCTCCCAGGCAGGGGTGGGGCCACACAGGCAGGGATGGGGCCTCTCAGGCAGGGGTGGGGCCTCTCAGGCAGGGGCGGGGCCTCTCAGGCAGGGGCGGGGCCTCCCAGGCAGGGGTGGGGCCTCCAGCACACACCCTGCAGCTGGACACTTCTGGGCAGGATGCAGGCTGTGGGGTCAGCAAATAGACTCCGCTCTCGACCTCACAGTGGTACACGGTGCAGTTGTCCACACGGCTATTGACCCAGGTTTCGTTCAGCTGAAATGCAAGGGTGAGAGTGGAAGCTGAGTATCGATGATCTCTTGTGCGGAGCCCTGTTGGGGGTGAGGGTCTCCAGGGAGGGAGCTGAGACCTGCCCCCACATGCCTCTGATGTTACCTGGACTGGCGGACCATCGGGCGTGAGGCAGGCAGTCTGCACGCACTCCCCACAGCACTGCCCGGCCGCTCTCTTGTACTCAAAGCCCTGTGGGGACAGGAGGGGCATCGGGCCCTAACCCTCTCCTCCAGTGCATGCCCCAGCCCAGCCTGCCCTCCTGTCTATACCCCAGTGGCCCAGGGGTCCTTAGCCCTGTCCCTGCCTGGGTCTATACCCAAAGAAGTTGCCCCCACCCAGTTATCCTGGCTCAGCCTCACCCCAGTTTCCAGCACCTTCTCTCTACCTACCCCTGCCTTCCTGGAACCTGATCCCAGACCCTGTCCCCAGCAGCCTGCAGGTCCTGTCCCACCCCCAGCCCCCCTCAGTCATCCTCCTACTTCATACCCTCCCTTTGGGAACAAACAAGACCCCAGCAATGGCTAAGCTAGAGAACCCCAGGGAGCCGGGATAACAGTGACTCGGGGCTGGGTCTGCCCAGCAGCTGTGGGCTCACCTGGGGGCAGGTAGTATTGTGGCAGGCATCCTCCCAACATTGCACCGTTGGGTCCTGGGTGTCCCCAGAGAGGCAGGTACACGTGTGGCAGGGAAGGGCCCCTGGGAAGATTGCACCAACCTGCAATGGGTGGGAGGGTGGCACTGAGGGCACCGGTGGGGCACCAGGGCCAGGACTCCTCCCCATGACCCGTTGGGGCCCGCAGGGAGTTGTTCCTTCCTCAGATGGAGCGTGGATGCACCCCTGGCTGAACGTGGACCCAGGCAGGCAGGGAGCCGATGCACACAGAGACCAACACAGGGACCACAGGTGGGCAGGGAATCCAGGCAGGAAGAGACCCCATATGGGCAGGAATCTTGGTGGGCAGAGACCCCGTGGGGGCAGGAATCTGGCGGGCAGGAATCCGGGTGGGCAGGGACCCTGGGCAGGCGTGTGCTGCCCCCAGGCCGTTGCTGGGAGCCCCTGAAGGGACCTCTCCGAGGCAGCAGGTGTGGAACTCACAGCTGTCGACGTCAGGTGCCCCTGAGTCCCAAGCATGTCCCAGCTCTGACCTGCCCAGGGTCCCTGTGCAGATCTGCCCTCATGGCAGGAATGTCAAGGCAAGGAGTGGGGCTCAGAGGGCCCCGGGGCATCCCACACACATGTTCAAGTCCCAGGGCCACACCCGCCCGCTGCTGTGCCCTTACCCCATAGAAGATGCCCTTGTAGGAACACAGCTGAGGTCCTGGAAGGAAAGGGAGCTGAGCCCACGACCGATGGCAGGGAGCACGTGCCCCAGCACCCCCACCATCCTGCACCCCCAACCCCTGGGTGAGAGGCCACCCACAGCCCGGCCCCAGTCCCGCCCCAGCCCCGCTCACCGCAGCGGAAGGTGGGACAGCAGTCGCCCTCCTTCTGGGTGCTGATCAACTCCTGCCCTAGCGGGCACACGGGTGGGCTCTGGTGGCAGGTGCTTGTGTTGCATACTGCGGGAGGACGGAGGGCTCTGTCTGGGCATTGCTCACTCCTCCTCCCGACCGCTTGTTCCCAGCGTAAGTCGCAGGTGTGCTCTTCCCTGAGGACCTGACTGCTTCACGGCCCCTCGGGGCTCCTCCAGGCCCCTTGGTTGGCCACCTCCTCGCTGCTTCCCACATCCCCGGGCCACTCCTGGGCAGGCCTGAGGTCACCAGCCTCATGTTTAGGAGGAGAATAATGCACCTGGAGGCCATCTCTGCCGAGTGGCCCTGCCGCGGTCACACCAGGACACTCCTCTGCTCTCCTGTGCCCACCCCACGGGCCCCTGGTGGGCACCGGCTCTGTCCCCCGTCACCCTATGCCGGGCACCTCTGCTCCACAGGGTCTTACCGCACACCGTCTCGGGGCAACAGGGGTTGTTGGCCCGGGGCCTGGTCACGGTCACGAAACCGGGGTGGCTGCATGGTGAGGAGGGACCCTGGGCCTCACAGGGCAGGGGCTTGCATTGCACCGACATTGAACCCTCATCACACACGCAGGACTGGCAGTTGCTGATCCACTGCTGCCCAGGCTGGAATGGATTGAGGGGGTCCCTGAGGGCTCCTGGACAGGCACAGGTCAACCCTGGGCATCTGTCCGGCCACCCCCTCCCTTGGGCTGGTACCCGAGTGGCCCAGATTGGGGGGGCAGGAAGCCCACACCAGCCACCGACACGTCCATGTCACACTCGGGTGCCCCACAGCTGCCCTGTGGGGTGGAGATGCTCCTTCGCTCCCTCCCTAAGCTCACAAGAGGGTGGGGTAGGGCAGGTGGGGGTGGAGCCACTCACAGACTTGGGAAGCCCATCAGGTCCCACGCAGGCTGGAAAGGAAACAGCACGGTGTCACTGAGGGTGCTGAGGTTGCAGGCAGAGGGGCCTCTGGCCACGGGAGGTGCTCTCAGGCCTGGCGCCTGCTTCCCCCGTGGGATGGAAGGCCCTGGAGAACTTTCAGGGTGTCAGATGTGGCTGGAGCTCAGGCCAGGGCAACGTGAGCCCAGCTGTCAGTGCATGGAAGCCTCGGCCATGGTGGTGGGAGGCAGGGCTCAGGCGAGGGACCACCGCAGGATCACACAAGGACGGAGCCTCCCAGTGGGGCTTCAGGGGACCGTGGGGACTCTACAGGGCTCAGGGCCACAATAGGGCCATCTTGTGCCTCTGGGGGCGCAGAACAGGTCACAGGGGTCCGCTGGGGAGAGGGGAGAGCATGTCGCGGGCCTGGGCGGCCCCTCCCACCCTGCGTGTGCTTGGGTCGGGCCCAGGGTCGTGTCCCGTGGCAGGTGGAGGAGCTTACGGCAGTCCTGCACGCAGGTGCCCGTGTGTGCGCTGAAGAGGATCTGGTCCCCGGGGCAGAAGCAGCCCTCCGCCAGCCCCTCCAGTTGTGGGTTCTGGTTCCTGCAGGGCGACAAGAGAGGCCCTGGGACCCAGAGATCCAGGAGGCCTCCCAGTACTGTCATCCACAGGAGTCCCCAGGATGGGCAGTGGGGAGCGGGGAAGGAGATGAATGGGTGGAGTGCGGGACTCAGAGTGGGCAGGGCTGGGGGCGGGGCTGGGTGGGGCTAAGGGTAGTCTGGGATGGGTGGGACTCGGGGGCGGGGCCAGGTGGGGATGGGGGGCCAGGCCTAGCCAGGGATGTGCCCCCTGCCTGACTCTTTTCTCTAAGGCATCTGGGAGCAGCAGGGGATGTTTTCCAAGGAGTCCTGGGCTCAGGGGCACCCCAGAGATCTGTGACTCCCAGCGGGACACCCTCTGGCCTCCTCCTGCTCCCCCCAACTAGTCAGGCAGGCCTGGGTGGTGGGGACAGCACCAGCCATCCCTGTACTCACCTGGAGTTGCAGGAGGCAGGCTGTATGGGGCCGCACGGCTTGTACACTTTGGTGGGTGGGCAGGTGAGATCTGTGGGCACAGAGAGGTGTCAGACAAGCTGAGAGGTCTGGGGAGCCCAGGGCCACCACACAGGCCACTCAGAGAGGCCGAGGAGTCTGGGGCCCAGGGCCGCCCCCACTGACCACACAGGCCACTCAGAGAGGCTGAGGAGTCTGGGGCCCAGGGCCGCCCCCACTCACCGCACAGGCCGCCGGTTGCACCTCGCCAGTCACTGCACACTCCCCGGGCACGGCAAAGAGCTGCGTAGGCCTCCAGGCTCTGGCAGGGCACCTCGGGGTGGCCCTGGCAGCCGTCGCTGATGCAGGCATTGAAGAATGGGCCCGGGGGCACAAGGTCGTGGCACTGGGCAAAGACCCTGTGGGGCAAAGCAATTAGCACGCCTCAGCCCGGCCCCAGGGAGCTGCCTGTGTGGGGGCAGGCGGGGGTGCCCCAGGGCCTGCAACCCCCGAGGGGAGGACTCACTGGCTCAGCATCAGATCACAGAGTGGCTGCGGCGGGCACGGGCTGGGGGTGGGTGCACTAGACACCGGGGCCGGGGGACTGGCCGTGGGGGGCGTGCCGGTCGGGGCCCAGCAGCCGTCCTTTCTGCTGTCAGGGACCAACCAAGTCTTAGCCATGTCCTTACAGCTGGTGGCAGTGGTTCCGTCGCGCTGGAGACAATCGTCCCTCTGGTTGTTGGTGCAGGTGCCTGCGGGCAGGGTGTCACTGCGGGGCTGGAATCTGGGGAGCCTTTCACAGCCCCCACCTGCCTCCCCCTCATTCCCCTCCCCAGGCTTCCCCTATGTTCACTGGGTCGTCGGGCCCAGCAGCAGCCCTGGCTGGGGCAGGACCCGCCGCCCACTCACCGCACTGGCCCTCGGTGTTGTTGTGGAAGAGGCTGTAGGGCAGCCGGGCCTGGAAGATGTGGCCATCGAAGGTGACGCTCACACCCAGGGCAGGGATGTCCACGCGCATGGTGGTGGTCCCCGTCACAGACACAAGCACGCCGTTCTTGCTGAAACCGCTGCTCACCGGAATTTGGTCAAACAGGATCTGGGGGAATCCGGGGAATCCCTGAGCTGGGAGGCAGTGCCAGGTGGGCTCGGGGAGTGGGGCTTGCCTTTAGGGCTCTGCCTCGACGTGCAGAGACCCCCCTGTATATCCCTCACCCCAAAGCCCAGATCTTCCCTGAGGGCCTGGGGTCTCCCGTCGACTGCATTTAGGCCACAAAGTGTGCTCGGCCTAAGGCAGCCCCACAGGCCTTCCCTGCCCCCTGGGAGCTGTCTTGGGCACAGGGCCATCGCTGCGGCACCTGGGTCCCCCGGCCTGCAGTCGGCCTGCCCAGGTGTGGTTGGGACTGGGCCAACACTGTGCCGCCCGCCGCCTGGACTCACCAAGTCCTCCTCCTTCCCATGCACCGTGGTGACGGTGAGGACGATATCCATGGACTTGTAGTGGAGCCTGAGGGCGCGGGAGCAGCTGGCGGCAGCGGCAGAGGCCGCGCAGTAGTGGTTGTCCAAGTAGAGGCTGAGATTCCCGAGGCGTGCGTGGATCTCTCTCATGAGGACATAGGTGCAGTTGCCCTCAAAGGTGTAAGAGGTGCCGTCAAAGGTGGAATAGTGGGAACTGCCCCACACACTGCAGATGCCTGTGGGACACAGACGGATGGGCCGGCAGGCTCCTTGGTGGTGCCCTCGCTCCCCAGGCGCCATGGCAGCCAGCGTCACCACCGTGACTGCCGCCTCGGGGAGCCACTGAAGCCCTAGGGCCTCAACTGCCTTGTCTATAAAATGGGTCCAGTGCTTGCAATGGTGTCCCCCAAAATCTATGGCCACCCCAGAACCTCTGCATGTGGCTTTGCCGGGAGAAAGCGTCTTTGCAGATGGGGTTAAGGGAAGCATCTTGAAGTGACATCATCGGGGACTAGCTGGGTGGGCCCTCAATCCAATGACCAGTGTCCCCACAGGAGACAGAAGAGACACAGACAGAGAGGGGAGGCCACAGAGAGACAGAGGCGGGGATTGGAGGGATGCGGTCACAGCCAAGGGACACCTGGAGCCCCCAAAGCTGGGAGAGGCAGGAAGGACCTCCCCAGACCCTCAGCAGGGAGCGTAGCCCTGATCTCAGACTTCCAGCTCCAGGACGGAGAGTGAGTTTCTGCTGTCTAAGCTCCCCAGCTTGTGGTGGTTTGGAACAGCAGCCCTGGGCCAAGGACGTGCGGAGGAGAGAGAACACCGTCACCTCTTAGCGGCGGGTCCCGCACAGTGATGGAAGCCGCTGTTAGGACCCAGGAGACAAAAGCTCCTCTGGGCTCCCACTTCCATCCTGAGCTTCTCCAGGCCCCAGAAGCCCCTGGATGGGGTCCCTTTCAAACCACACAGGCTGATGTACAGACAAGCTCAGCAACCTGGCCTCCGCTCCCTCTCCTCGGGCTGTGTCAGCATTTTCAGCCCTGTGGACACAGAGCCTGCACGCTAAGAGCTCACACAGCGTGCACCACTGAGGCCCAAGACAGCATGGTACAAGATGGTTTCCTGAAGGGATGCCACCGATCTGCCAAACACCCCCACCATGCCCCACCACCCCCGCCATGCCCTACTGCACCCCACCATGCCCCATCACACCCTACCGCACCCCACTGTGCCCCACCATGCCCCACCATGCCCCACTGCACCCCACCATGCCCCACCACCCCCGCCATGCCCTACTGTACCCCACCATGCCCCATCACATCCTACCACACCCCACTGTGCCCCACCATGCCCCACTGTGCCCCACCGTGCCCCACCACACCCTACCACAGCCCGCCATGCCCCACCATGCCCGCCACGCCCCACCATGCCCACTACGCCCCACCATGCCCCACCATGCCCACCATGCCCCACCATGCCCCACTGTGCCCCACCATGCCCCATCCTGCCAGCTTGGCTGACGGCACCCTCTGCTCCACCTGCCCCCGGAGGAGTCCCGCGGCTGCCCACGCACTCACACTCGCACTCATAGTGGAAGTCACAGGGCTGGCTCGGGTCGGACACTTTGATGGGCAGGTGCTTGTTCACGCAGGTGACATTGGCCACGGGCTTTGGGTCCAGCAGGGCGACATGGTTGTCACCCACGCACCTGGCCACCGTGCAGTTCTCCAGGGTCCAGGTCTCATTCACCTGCAGCCGGGAACATGCACGTCCTCACCTGGACCGGCTCACGGGACCCATCCCTTGCCCATCCCACCCCTCGTGGCCCACAGCCCCCGGTGGCCACAAGAGCCTGCCTGGGGAGGGCGGCCCCCGTGCTAGCCTGGCCCCCAGACCCTGTGTGCCTCCACCAGCTGGAGCTACTGGCGGGGGGTCACTGAGTTGGGCCTCAGGGGCTGGGCGCTGGCTGTGCCTCCAGCCGACCCAGACCCTGTGCACACAGCAGGGAAGATAGAGGGCAGGCGGGGCCCACCTGCCGGGGAGGGATGGCATTGTCACAGCCAGGGGCAGGGGAGGGCGAGGGCAGCAGGGTGGAGGACGCTGGTGGTGGGGAGGTGGGGCAGGTGCCCTGGAAGCGGTCGAGGTCACAGTGCTGGTTGCACACGGCATAGAATTGGCAGCCGGCTCGGTCTGTCCTATTGTAGATTACTTCCCCTGTGAAGAACAACACCGTAGGAAGATAAGCCACTCCCAGCGACCGGCAAGCCAGCGTCCTGGGGGAGCGAAGGCAGAGGCCACGCAGAAGGGAGCAGCTGCTCCAGGGAGTGACCGTGGAGGTCAGAGACTGAGCGTGGCCAGTGGGGACCAGGTGTGGCCAGGGGGAGCCAAGTGAGGCCAGTGGGAACAAGCATGGCTGGCAGGGAGAAAGCAACTGGCTCCCAGGACAGGCAGACCCAGGTTAGCATAGCGTGTGGGGAAAGGCTACAGGAGCATTATCCACGTCCACTCACCAGGTGAGAAGAACTGTCCAAATGCCCTGCAGAAGCAGGGAGTAGAGAAGTGGGAGCTGGGGAAGTGAGTGGGTCTGAGGGTGGTGAGGACTGAGGAGGACACAGTGGACATGCTGAAGGCTGGCAGGCTGCTGGGGAGCACTGCAGGGGTGTGGGTGGTCCCCAGGGTGGACGAGCTGGGAACCGTGGAGCCAGTGGCTGTGGGCCTGGTGGCCGTGGTGGTCAGCACTTTGGGGGTGCCAGCTGTTCCCACAGTGGAGGAGGGGATGGCAGTAGACCTAGTGGCCATGGTCGTGGTTGCTGTAGTGGTCCGCACTGGAAGGGTGCCTGCAGTCCCTGGGCTGGAGAAAGGGGTTGCTGAGGAGCTGGGCGCTGTGGGTATGGTGGCTGTGGAACCAGTGGCCTCAGTCGGGGTGGCTAGAGTGGTCGGCTCTGTGAGGATCCAGGTCGTCCCCAGAGTGGAGGAGGGGGTTGCTTTGGAGCTGGTGGCTGTGGGTGTGGTGGCTGTGATGGTCAACACTTTGGGAGAGTACGTTGTTCCCGGGGTGGAGGTCAGGGTGGCTGTGGAGCCCGAGGCCATAGTTGTGATGGCTGTAGTGGTCGGCTCTGTGAGGAACCAAGTTGACGCCGGAGTGGAGGAGGGCGTGGCTGTGGAGCTGGTGGCCACACTTATGGTGGCAGTGGTGGTTGGTTCTGTGTGGATCCTGGTCGTTCCCAGAGTAGAGGAAGGTATGGCCGTGGAGCCTGTGGCCACTGTTGTGATGGCTGTAGTGGTTGGCTCTGTGAGGATCCCGGTCGTCCCCAGAGTGGAGGAGGGCGTGGCCGTGGACCTCATAGCCACTGTTGTAATGGTTGTAGTGGTCGGCTCTGTGAGGATCCCGGTTGTCCCTGGAGTGAAGGAGGGTGAGGCTGTGGAGCCCGTGGCCACTGTTGTGATGGCTGTAGTGGTCGGCTCTGTGAGGATCCTGGTTGTCCCCGGAGTGGAAGGCATGGCCGTGGAGCCCGTGGCCACTGTCGTAATGGCTGTAGTGGTCAGCTCTGTGAGGATTGAGGTCTTCCCTGAAGTGGAGGAGGGCGTGGCCGTGGAGCCCGTGGTCACTGTTGTGATGGCTGTAGTGGTCGGCGCTGTGAGGATCGAGGTCGTCCCTGGAGTGGAGGAGGGGATGGCCATGGAGCCAGTGGCCACAGTGATGGTGGCAGTGGTGGTTGGCTCTGTGAGGAATCCAGTCGTCCCCGGAGTGGAAGCTGTGGCTGTGGAGCCCGTGGTTGTGATGGCTGTAGTGGTCAGTTTTGTGAGGACTGAGGTCTTCCCTGGAGTGGAGGAGGGCACGGCCGTGGACTTCGTGGCCACTGTTGTGACGGTAGTAGTGGTTGGCTCTGTGAGGATCCCGGTCGTCCCCTGAGTGGAGGAGGGCGTGGCCGTGGAGCCCGTGGCCACTGTTGTGATGGCTGTAGTGGTTGGCTCTGTGAGGATTGAGGTCATCCCTGGAGTGGAGGAAGGCACGGCCGTGGACCTCGTGGCCACTGTTGTGATGGTTGTAGTGGTTGGCTCTGTGAGGATCCCAGTCGTCCCTGGAGTGGAGGTGGGCGTGGCCGTGGAGCCCGTGGTCACTGTTGTGATGGCTGTAGTGGTTGGCTCTGTGAGGATCCCAGTCGTCCCCGGAGTAGAAGGCGTGGCCGTGGAGCCCGTGGCCACTGTTGTGATGGCTGTAGTGGTTGGCTCTGTGAGGATCGAGGTCATCCCTGGAGTGGAGGAGGGGATGGCCGTGGAGCCAGTGGCCACAGTTATGGTGGCAGTGGTGGTCGGCCCTGTGAGGATCCCAGTCGTCCCTGGAGTGGAGGTGGGCGTGGCCGTGGAGCCCGTGGCCACTGTTGTGATGGCTGTAGTGGTTGGCTCTGTGAGGATTGAGGTCATCCCTGGAGTGGAGGAAGGCACGGCCGTGGACCTCGTGACCACTGTTGTGATGGTTGTAGTGGTTGGCTCTGTGAGGATCCCGGTCGTCCCTGGAGTGGAGGTGGGCGTGGCCGTGGAGCCCGTGGTCACTGTTGTGATGGCTGTAGTGGTTGGCTCTGTGAGGATCCCAGTCGTCCCCGGAGTAGAAGGCGTGGCCATGGAGCCCGTGGCCACTGTTGTGATGGCTGTAGTGGTTGGCTCTGTGAGGATCGAGGTCATCCCTGGAGTGGAGGAGGGGATGGCCGTGGAGCCAGTGGCCACAGTTATGGTGGCAGTGGTGGTCGGCCCTGTGAGGATCCCAGTCGTCCCCGGAGTGGAGGTGGGCGTGGCCGTGGAGCCCGTGGCCACTGTTGTGATGGCTGTGGTGGTTGGCTCTGTGAGGATCGAGGTCATCCCTGGAGTGGAGGAGGGGATGGCTGTGGAGCCAGTGGCCACAGTTATGGTGGCAGTGGTGGTCGGCTCTGTGAGGATCCCAGTCGTCCCCGGAGTGGAGGAATGCGTGGCCGTGGACCTTGTGGCCACTGTTGTGATGGTTGTAGTGGTTGGCTCTGTGAGGATCCCGGTCGTCCCCGGAGTGGAGGAAGGCGTGGCCGTGGACTTTGTGGCCACTGTTGTGATGGTTGTAGTGGTTGGCTCTGTGAGGATCCCGGTCGTCCCCGGAGTGGAGGAGGGCGTGGCTGTGGAGCCCGGGGCCACTGTTGTGATGGCTGTAGTGGTCGGCTCTGTGAGGATCCTGGTTGTCCCCGGAGTGGAAGGCGTGGCTGTGGAGCCCGTGGCCACTGTCGTGATGGCTGTAGTGGTCAGCTCTGTGAGGACTGAGGTCTTCCCTGGAGTGGAGGAGGGCGTGGCCGTGGAGCCCGTGGTCACTGTTGTGATGGTTGTAGTGGTTGGCTCTGTGAGGATCGAGGTCATCCCTGGAGTGGAGGAGGGGATGGCCGTGGAGCCAGTGGCCACAGTTATGGTGGCAGTGGTGGTCGGCTCTGTGAGGATCCCAGTCGTCCCCGGAGTGGAGGAGGGCGTGGCTGTGGAGCCCGGGGCCACTGTTGTGATGGCTGTAGTGGTTGGCTCTGTGAGGATCGAGGTCATCCCTGGAGTGGAGGAGGGGATGGCCGTGGAGCCAGTGGCCACAGTTATGGTGGCAGTGGTGGTCGGCTCTGTGAGGATCCCGGTCGTCCCCGGAGTGGAGGTGGGCTTGGCCTTGGAGCCCGTGGCCACTGTTGTGATGGCTGTAGTGGTTGGCTCTGTGAGGATCGAGGTCATCCCTGGAGTGGAGGAGGGGATGGCCGTGGAGCCAGTGGCCACAGTTATGGTGGCAGTGGTGGTTGGCTCTGTGAGGATTCCAGTCGTCCCCGGAGTGGAGGAGGGCGCGGCTGTGGAGCCCGGGGCCACTGTTGTGATGGCTGTAGTGGTTGGCTCTGTGAGGATCGAGGTTATCCCTGGAGTGGAGGAGGGGATGGCCGTGGAGCCCGTGGCCACTGTTGTGATCGCTGTAGTGGTCGGCTCTGTGAGGATCCCGGTTGTCCCCAGAGTGGAGGAATGCGTGGCCGTGGACCTTGTGGCCACTGTTGTGATGGTTGTAGTGGTTGGCTCTGTGAGGATCCCGGTCGTCCCCGGAGTGGAGGAAGGCATGGCCATGGACCTCGTGGCCACTGTTGTGATGGTTGTAGTGGTTGGCTCTGTGAGGATCCCAGTAGTCCCCGGAGTGGAGGAGGGCATGGCTGTGGAGCCCGGGGCCACTGTTGTGATGGCTGTAGTGGTCGGCTCTGTGAGGATCCTGGTTGTCCCCGGAGTGGAAGGCGTGGCCGTGGAGCCCGTGGCCACTGTCGTGATGGCTGTAGTGGTCAGCTCTGTGAGGATTGAGGTCTTCCCTGGAGTGGAGGAGGGCGTGGCCGTGGAGCCCGTGGTCACTGTTGTGATGGCTGTAGTGGTCGGCGCTGTGAGGATTGAGGTCATCCCTGGAGTGGAGGAGGGGATGGCCGTGGAGCCAGTGGCCACAGTTATGGTGGCAGTGGTGGTTGGCTCTGTGAGGAATCCAGTCGTCCCCGGAGTGGAGGAGGGCAGGGCTGTGGAGCCTGTGGCCACTGTTGTGATGGTTGTAGTGGTCGGCTCTGTGAGGATCCCAGTCGTCCCCGGAGTGGAAGGTGTGGCCGTGGAGCCCGTGGTTGTGATGGCTGTAGTGGTCAGCTCTGTGAGGACTGAGGTCTTCCCTGGAGTGGAGGAGGGCACGGCCGTGGACTTCGTGGCCACTGTCGTGACGGTTGTAGTGGTTGGCTCTGTGAGGATCCCAGTCGTCCCCGGAGTGGAGGAGGGCGTGGCCGTGGAGCCCGTGGTCACTGTTGTGATGGCTGTAGTGGTTGGCTCTGTGAGGATCGAGGTCATCCCTGGAGTGGAGGAGGGGATGGCCGTGGAGCCCGTGGCCACTGTTGTGATGGCTGTAGTGGTCGGCTCTGTGAGGATCCCGGTTGTCCCCGGAGTAGAAGGCGTGGCCGTGGACCTCGTGGCCACTGTTGTGATGGTTGTAGTGGTTGGCTCTGTGAGGATCGAGGTCATCCCTGGAGTGGAGGAGGGGATGGCCGTGGAGCCAGTGGCCACAGTTATGGTGGCAGTGGTGGTCGGCTCTGTGAGGATCCCGGTCGTCCCCGGAGTGGAGGTGGGCGTGGCCATGGAGCCCGTGGCCACTGTTGTGATGGCTGTAGTGGTTGGCTCTGTGAGGATCGAGGTCATCCCTGGAGTGGAGGAGGGGATGGCCGTGGAGCCAGTGGCCACAGTTATGGTGGCAGTGGTGGTTGGCTCTGTGAGGATCCCAGTCGTCCCCGGAGTGGAGGAGGGCGTGGCTGTGGAGCCAGGGGCCACTGTTGTGATGGCTGTAGTGGTTGGCTCTGTGAGGATCGAGGTCATCCCTGGAGTGGAGGAGGGGATGGCCGTGGAGCCCGTGGCCACTGTTGTGATGGCTGTAGTGATCGGCTCTGTGAGGATCCCGGTTGTCCCCGGAGTGGAGGAAGGCGTGGCCGTGGACCTCGTGGCCACTGTTGTGATGGTTGTAGTGGTTGGCTCTGTGAGGATCCCGGTCGTCCCCGGAGTGGAGGTGGGCGTGGCCGTGGAGCCTGTGGCCACTGTTGTGATGGTTGTAGTGGTTGGCTCTGTGAGGATCGAGGTCATCCCTGGAGTGGAGGAGGGGATGGCCGTGGAGCCAGTGGCCACAGTTATGGTGGCAGTGGTGGTTGGCTCTGTGAGGATCCCAGTGGTCCCTGGAGTGGAGGAGGGCGTGGCTGTGGAGCCCGGGGCCACTGTTGTGATGGCTGTAGTGGTCGGCTCTGTGAGGATCCCGGTTGTCCCCGGAGTGGAGGAATGCGTGGCCGTGGACCTTGTGGCCACTGTTGTGATGGTTGTAGTGGTTGGCTCTGTGAGGATCCCGGTCGTCCCCAGAGTGGAGGTGGGCGTGGCTGTGGAGCCCGGGGCCACTGTTGTGATGGCTGTAGTGGTCGGCTCTGTGAGGATCAAGGTCGTCCCTGGAGTGGAGGAGGGCGTGGCTGTGGAGCTGGTGGCCACAGTTATGGTGGCAGTGGTGGTTGGCTCTGTGACGATCCTGGCCGTCTCCGGAGTGGAGGAGGGCGTGGCCGTGGACCTCGTGGCCACTGTTGTAATGGCTGTAGTGGTCGGCTCTGTGAGGATCGAGGTCATCCCTGGAGTGGAGGAGGGCATGGCTGTGGAGCTGGTGGTCACAGTTATGGTGGCAGTGTTGGTTGGTTCTGTGAGGCTCCCGGTCGTCCCCTGAGTGGAGGAAGGCATGGCCGTGGAGCCCGTGGCCACTGTTGTGACGGCTGTAGTGGTCGGCTCTGTGAGAATCCAGGTTGATGCTGGAGTGGAAGAGGGCGTGGCCTTGGAGCCAGTGGCCACAGTTATGGTGGCAGTGGTGGTTGGCTCTGTGAAGATCCAGGTGGTTCCTGGGGTGGAGGAGGGGTTGGCCGTGGAGCCAGTGGCTGCAGTCATTGCGGTTGTGGTGGGAAAAACTTCAGTGATTCGAGTAGTCCCTGTAGTGGAGGAGGGAATGGCTGTGGAGCCCGTGACCACTGTTGTGATGGCTGTAGTGGTTGGCTCTGTGAGGATCGCGGTGGTCCCTGGAGTGGAGGAGGGGATGGTCGTGGAGCCCGTGGCCACTGTTGTGATGGCTGTAGTGGTTGGCTCTGTGAGAATCCAGGTTGACCCCAGAGTGGAGGAGGGTGTGGCCTTGGAGCTGGTGGCCGGGGTGCTGGGGCAGTGGCCGTAGTTGCAGCAGAACACACGGATTTCGTAGTTGAAGCACATCTTGAACTTCCCCACCTGCTGACGGTTCCTGCAGACCAAGCCGAAGTCCAGGCTGCATTCCACGACCTGGCCCAACTCCCGCAGGGGGACACCAGGCTGGGCCTGGGCGCGGCACTCGAGGCCCAGGGGCTGCTCACAGACGGCCCCTCCAGCCGCGCGGATGTTGGAGTAGGTCTCCAAGTCCCCGCCAGAGGGCCCCGACATGGGGTAGCTGTAGTCCAGCCAGTCTGACCAGGCACACTGGGGCTCACAGCCCGTGGACACCACTGGGGTTGTGGGGGCCGATGTGGGGCTGCTGGGCAGCAGGGTCGAGGTGTGGGTCTTGCTGGTTGTGGCCGTGGTCCTGGAGGTGGCCGTGGTGAGGCCCGGGGTGGTCTTCCCTGGAGAAAGGGGTGACTCAGTGGTTCTGCTGTGAGTGTGAGGACTGGACAGGGCTGAAGTCGAGTGTGGGGTGGTACCGGTGGTTCCTACTGGGGTGTGGGAAGTCACCGTGGATGGCTCTGTGATGTGGGTGGTGCCCGAGGTGGCCACAGAAGTCCGGGCTGTGGGTACCGTGCGGGGACTCTCGGGGAGCTGGGATCGCCCATGTGTGGTGGCCGTGGTGGACAGCACTGGGGGTGTATGGGTGGTCCCTAGGGCAGAGGAGGGAGCCACTGTGGTGCTGGTGGCTGCAGGTGTGGTGGCCGTGGTGGTCAGCGCTGGGGAGATGGGAGTTGTCCCTGGAGTGGAGGCGGGGGTGGTGGTGGAGCCTGTGGCCGTGATTGTCGTGCCCGTGGTGGCCAGTGCTGGGGGTGTACCAGTGGTCTGTGGGCTAGAGGAGGGTGTTGCCATAGAGCCAGTGGCCACAGTTATGGTGGTGTTGGTCAGCACTGTCGGGGTGTGGGTGGTCCCTGGGATGGAGGAGGGGGTCACTGTGTAGCTGCTGGTTGTGGGTGTGGTGGTTGTGGTGATAAGTGCTGTAAGGGTGCTTGCAGTCCCTGGGCTGGAGGAGGGGGTGGCTGTGGAGCTTGTGGTGATGGCCATGGTGGTCAGCACTTTAGAGGTGTGAGCTGTTCCTGAGGTGAGGAGGGTGGCCGTGGAGCCAGTGGCCTGGATTGTGGTGGCCGTGGTGGTTAGCGCTGTGGAGGTGTGGGTGGTCCTTGGAGTGGAGGAGGCGTGGGCTGTGGACAGGGTGGCCGTTGGTGCGGTGGTCTGTGCTGTGAGGTTCCAAGTGGTTCTCAGGGAGGAGGATGGGATGGCTGTAAAGCTGGTAGCTGTGGGTGTGGTGGCTGTGCTTGTCAGCACAACTGGAAGGGTGGGTGCAGTCCCTGGACTGGTGGAGGCAGTGGCTTTGGAGCCAGTGGCTGTGGGTTTCGTGGCCATGGTGGTCAGCAATTCTGAGGTGGCAGCAGTTGCTGGGGTGGAGGAGGGGGTGACTGTGGAGCTGGTGGCCACATTCGTGGTCAATGTTGTGGTTGGCTCTGTGAAGATCCAGGTGGTCCCAGGAGTGGAGGAGGAGGTGGCTGTGGAGCCGGTGGTCCCTGGGGTGGAGGAGGGGTTGGCCGTGGAGCCAGTGGCTTCAGTCGTTGCAGTTGTGGTGGGAAACACTTTGGTGATTTGAGTAGTCCCTGAGGTGGAGGAAGGGATGGCAGTGGAGCCCGTGACCACTGTTGTGATGGCTGTAGTGGTTGGCTCTGTGAGGATCGCGGTGGTCCCTGGAGTGGAGGAGGGCATGGCTGTGGAGCCCGTGGCCACTGTTGTGATGGCTGTAGTGGTTGGCTCTGTGAGGATCCCGGTTGTCTCCAGAGTGGAGGAGGGTGTGGCCTTGGAGCTGGTGGCCAGGGTGCTGGGGCAGCGGCCGTAGTTGCAGCAGAACACACGGATTTCGTAGTTGAAGCACATCTTGAACTTCCCCACCTGCTGACGGTTCCTGCAGACCAAGCCGAAGTCCAGGCTGCATTCCACGACCTGGCCCAACTCCCGCAGGGGGACACCAGGCTGGGCCTGGGCGCGGCACTCGAGGCCCAGGGGCTGCTCACAGACGGCCCCTCCAGCCGCGCGGATGTTGGAGTAGGTCTCCAAGTCCCCGCCAGAGGGCCCCGACATGGGGTAGCTGTAGTCCAGCCAGTCTGACCAGGCACACTGGGGCTCACAGCCTGTGGACACCACCGGGGTCGTGGGGGCCGATGTGGGGCTGCTGGACAGCAGGGTCGAGGCACGGGTCTCGCTGGTTGTGGCCGTGGCCGTGGTCCTGGAGGTGGCCGTGGTGAGGCCCGGGGTGGTCTTCCCTGGAGAAAGGGGTGACTCAGTGGTTCTGCTGTGAGTGTGAGGGCTGGACAGGGCTGGAGTCGAGTGTGGGGTGGTACCGGTGGTTCCTACTGGGGTGTGGGAAGTCACCGTGGATGGCTCTGTGATGTGGGTGGCGCCCGAGGTGGCCATGGAAGTCCAGGCTGTGGGTACCATGCGGGGACTCTCAGGGAGCTGGGATCGCCCATGTGTGGTGGCCATGGTGGACAGCACTGGGGGTGTATGGGTGGTCCCTAGGGCAGAGGAGGGAGCCACTGTGGTGCTGGTGGCTGCAGGTGTGGTGGCCGTGGTGGTCAGCACTGGGGAGATGGGAGTTGTCCCTGGAGCGGAGGAGGGGGTGGTGGTGGAGCCTGTGGCCGTGATTGTCGTGCCCGTGGTGGCCAGTGCTGGGGGTGTACCAGTGGTCTGTGGGCTAGAGGAGGGTGTTACCATAGAGCCAGTGGCCACGGTTGTGGTGGTGTTGGTCAGCACTGTGGGGGTGTGGGTGGTCCCTGGGATGGAGGAGGGGGTCACCATGGAGCCGCTGGTTGTGGGTGTGGTGTTTGTGCCGATCCGCCCTGGAAGTGTGGGTGCAGTCCCTGGGCTAGAGGAGGGAGTGGCTGTGAAGCCCCTGGTTGTGGTAGTCAGCACTTTGGTAGTGTAAGCTGTTCCTGGGCTGGAGGAGGGGGTGGCCATGGAGCCAGTGGCCCCAGTTGTGGTGGCCGTGGTGGTAAGCACTGTGGAAATATGGGCAGTCTCTGGAGTGGAGGAGGGTCTGCCTGTGGACATGGTGGCTGTGGGTGTGGTGGTCTGTGCTGTGAGGGTCCAGGTGGTCCCCAGAGAGGAAGAGGGGATGGCTGTAAAGCTTGTAGCTGTGGGTGTGGTGGCTGTGCTTGTCAGTGCTGGAAGGGTGGGTGCAGTCCCTGGACTGGAGGAGGGAATGGCTTTGGAGCCGGTGACTGTGGGTGTTGTGGTCATGGTGGTCAGCACATTTGGGGTGGCAGCAGTTGCCGGGGTGTGGGAGGGGGTGGCTTTGGAGGTGGTGGCCATGGTTGTGATGGTTGTGGTGCTCAGCACTTTTGGGGTGTGAGCTGTTCCTTGGCTGGAGGAGGCGGTGGCCATGGAGCTGGTGGGCGTGGTCATGGTGGCTTTAGTGGTTGGCTCTGTGAAGATCAAGGTGGTACCACCCAGGGTGGTACCGGTGGTTCCTGCTGGGGGGTGGGAAGTCACCGTGGAGCTGGCAGCCACAGTTGTGGTGGCTGTGGTGGTCAACCCTTTGGGGCTCTGAGCAGTGCTTGAGGTGGAGGAGGGGGTGGCTGTGGAGCTGGTGGCCTGGGTTGTGATGGCTGTGGTGGTCAGCACTTTCACAGTGTGAGCTGTTCCTGGGGTGGAGGAGCGCCTGGCTGTGGTGCCTGTGCTCCTGGGTGTGGCAGCCGTGGAACCGGTGCTCATGGGTACGGTAACTGTGGATCCGGTGCTCGTGGGAGTGGTAACTGTGGATCCGGTGCTCGTGGGAGTGGTAGCCGTGGATCCGGTGCTCGTGGGAGTGGTAGCCGTGGATCCGGTGCTCGTGGGAGTGGTAGCCATGGATCCGGTGCTCGTGGGAGTGGTAGCCGTGGATCCGGTGCTCATGGGTACGGTAACTGTGGATCCGGTGCTCGTGGGAGTGGTAGCCATGGAACCGGTGCTCATGGGTACGGTAACTGTGGATCCAGTGCTCGTGGGAGTGGTAGCCGTGGATCTGGTGCTCATGGGAGTGGTAGCCGTGGATCCAGTGCTCGTGGGAGTGGTAGCCGTGGATCCGGTGCTTGTGGGAGTGGTAGCCGTGGATCCGGTGCTCGTGGGAGTGCTGGCACAGTGGCTGTCATCACAGCACAACAGCCGCACATGAAAGTTGTGGCAGTACCACAGGGGCCCAGACTGGTCACGGTTCCTACACACCAGCCCAATGCTCACATCACACTGCACCACCTGCCCCAGGGCCTCCAGGGGTTGGTTGGGCTCCTTCTCAGAGCGGCACTCAATGTCCCATGGATGCTCGCAGAAGGTATGGCCAGCAGAGCGGATGACCCCAAAGGTCTCAAAGTCCCCGCCATCAGGGTCAGAGCTGGGGTAGTCCTCATCAAACCAGTCTGTCCAGGTGCAGCGAGGCACACAGCCCGTGCTGGGAGACGGGGGGCCAGAGGGCAGGGTCGTCCTGATGGTGGGCCCAGAGCTGGAAGTCCGCAGGGTTGTGTGCACACGGGCGGTCACCACGGGGGACGTTGTGGGGGTGCTGGTCACAATTGGACTGGTGGGCATGGATGGAGCCTGGGAGGTCTGCTGCTCCCTGGTAGGGAGGAGGCTGGCGGTGGAAGGTAAAGGGGCAGAGGGACTGGGGAGGGACACCCTCTCTGTGGTCTTGGAGAAGCTGGGGCCAGTTTGAGTGGTGGCCAGAGTTGAGGATCCTGTTACTGCTGGTGACTTGGTGCTCCAGGTTGCAATGGCTGTGGAGGCAGTCACTGTGGGGCTGGTGGCCCCCATGGAGGTGAGTCTGGGTGCCTGTGTGGAGGAGGTGGGCGTGGGGGCGGCTGTGTGGGGGCAGTGGCTGTAGTCGTCACAGCAGAGCACACGCACATTGTAGTTGAAGCACATGTTGAACCTGCCTGTCTGGTCCTCATTCTTGCAGATCAGCCCCGTCTCCAGGCTACAGGTCAGCACCTGCCCGATCTGGTCGATGCTCACCTCGGGGTAGTTCTCCGCCCGGCACTCTATGCTCTTTGGTGCCCAGCACATCTTGCCCCCAGCAGCCCTGATGTTTTCAAAAGTTTCCATGTCCCCGCCTGCGACCCCTGAGGTTGGGAAGTCCACGTCAAACCACTCTGTCCACTCACACTTCGGTTGACAGCGGGTAGTGCTCTGGCTAGTGGTGGTCTCAGTCAAGCGGCTCAGTGTCGTCTCTGTCCTGGGGGTGCTGGTCTCGGCCTGAGAGGTGAACAGTTCGCTCGAGAGTGTCGGCGCCAGGCTCGTGGTCAGCGGCTGTTTGGAGCTGGAGCTGGCTGTGCCTGTCAGGTGAGCTCTGGAGGTTGCCATTGTCGTTGGGGCTGGCGTGGGTGGCTGTGAGGGATGCCATGTGCCCGAACTCCCCGTGGTCCCTGGCAGGACTGAGTGTGTTGGAAGGTTGGATGTGGCCACCCCTGGGACAGTGGGTTCTGTGGAGCCTGCAGGAACCGTGGGGCCTCCTGTGGTGGCTGTACCAAGGGTGCCCGTGTATCTGGGGGATGTCAGTCCTTTTGAGAGGGTGGGGACTGCTGTGGTGCTGGTCACCCCCAGGCTACTCGTTGACTGCAGCGTTGAGAACAGGACCTGGGTGGTGGTGGTGGCCGTCTCCAGCGATGTGGCCGGTGGTGGGGTTGTGGCTCGTCCCCTGCAGTGGTCGGCGCTGCAGCACAGGACCCGGATCCTGTAGTTGTAGCACATCTTGAATATGCCCTCCTGCTCCCAGTTCCTGCACACCAGGCCGAAGCGGACGTCACAGTGCACCTTCTGCCCTACCTGAGCCAGGGGCCAGTTGGGGAAGCTCTCGGCCTGGCACTCTATGTCCTTAGGCTGCTCACATAAGTGCCCTCCTGCAGCCCTGATCTTATCGTAGGACTCAACGTCCCCTCCAAGTTGTTCAGACTTGGGGTAGTCCTCATCAAACCACTCTGTCCACTGACACCGGGGCTGGCAGGTGGTGGTACCTGGGGCCAGGGAGGTGACCGTCGTGGGGCCTGAGCTGGACCCAGTCTGTGAGGTGAGGGCTGCTGTTGACCGGATGCTTGGGATCACCCACAGGGTGGTCTTTTCGGTTGCTGTGGTCTGGGTAGGGGTAGGCACAGCAGGCTCCGTGCTGGCACTGAGGGAGGGCTGGGGGCTGGTGCCTGGGGCCAGGGAGGGGCCACAGGGCACGTATTCACAGCAGAGAACCCGCAGCTCATAGTCGTGACAGAGCGGGGGGCTCTGCTGGCTGTTGGCGCACATCAGCCCCCTCACGCGGTCACAGTCCACCTGCTGGCCCAGCTCTCCCAGTGGCATGTCGGGAAGCTGCCCTGCCCGGCACTCGATGTCGGCTGGCACAGGGCACACCTGGTACCCTCTCTGCCTCAGGTTTTCAAATGTCTCGAAGTCTCCGCCTCCCAGACCAGGCTCTGGGTGGTGCCCGTTGTACCAGCTGGACCAGCGGCAGACCTCGCGGACACACACAGTGGAGACTGGGAGGGCCGGGCCTGCAAGGGGTGTGGGAGAGGGGTCCTGGCTCAGCATCCTCCAGTCCTGGCCTCACAAGGTGGAGGGGCCCCAGAGGACCCTTGTCCCAGGGCTGGCCCTGCCCCTGTGGGATACTGGGGACCCCAGGTGCCTGCCTTAGCCTTGGTTAGAGCCGTTTCTATATGAGGGACTGGAGCCTGGCAGCCTGGCCTTGAGGGAGTCGGCCAGCTGGGATAGGCCATGCTGAGGGATGGGACGGAGTCTGGGAAAGCTTTACTGCCCCCCTGGGTTATCCCATCAATCATCGTGCAGAGGCTTCCTGGGGAGCCCCTGAAGACACGCAGGGTGTTGTGGGGGCTGTGCACCCCTAGACAGAGCTCGGCAGGTCAGTGGATTGGGACTGTTGCTACCATTCAGGGCACCTGCATCAAGAGCCCAGGGGTTCCCTCCTTGTCACCCAGACATGACCAGGCCTCAGGAGAGCCAGGCAGGGCTTACTTGTCGTGGAGTGGGGGACCCAGCTAGTGGTGAAGGTGAATGGCGTTGTGGCCGGAGTTCCAGGACATGCCACAGCCTTCCTGACGATGGTGCCGTTGCTTCCACAGATGGCGATCAAACAGGCACCAAGCCCATCGGTGGTGTTGTAGATGACGTCCTGGTAGCCGTAGGTCCTGTCCTCATAGGTGCAGGTGCAGGCTGGGGATGGACCCAGCAGAGTCACCCGGTGCCTTCGAGCCCCTGGCCCCGGCCCTCACCACTCCCCCACCCCCCTGGCCCTTCCTTACCCTCAAGGCTGTGAGCGCACTGGATGCCACTGGGCGTGCAGTTACTGGGGGTGGGGGAGAGGTGAGCTGAGGGCCTGGGGGGCAGCCTGAGGGGCCTGCTCCCCAGCCCTGCACCCCCAGCGCCACCCACTCCCCAACCCCTCACCAGCTCTGGCAGTTCTCCGCTGTGGGGACTCTTGCGCCAACGTCATAGTAGTTTCCATCCCTGTCGTAGCAGCCACACTGGGCCACGCACTTCATCTGGTCCTCATTGAAGAAGGGCTGGCTGGGTGGGCACGTCGGGTAGCAGCCTAGGGCCGGCAGAGTGAGCAGAAGACTCACCAGGGCCCTTAGGTCTCTCCAGCCAGGGGCGCCATGCTGTAGGGAGTAGCCGCCCCCTACCAGCCAGCAGGGGCCTGCCCCCAAGGCTTGCATTGTACAGTTTAAGGGAGCCTACACCCCGTCCCTGGGGAACCCCGGCCCCCCACATACACTCGGGACCCCAAGGATAGGAGGCTCCATCCAAGAAAGGTTCCCCTCACCTTCCAGGCCAGGCAGGTCCACCAGGCAGTGCCCACTGGGGTTCCGGCAGGTTTTTAGGCAGGGTGCCCCGCAGGGCTGGTAGTGCCACTCACAGCCCCCGTGTGGGTTGTAGAAGTCACAGAACAAAGCTGGGGCACAGAGGGCAGAGGTTAAGGAGGCGCCCACCGGCCCTCACCCTTGTTGTGAAGGGCAGCCCCCACCCCGGGTGTGGGGGCCGGTGTCCCCAGTGCCAGACCCAGGCTTGTCCCTGACATGCAGGGTCTTGGGCCAGGTGGTGCCTCACCTTCCCCTCACTCCCCAGCCCTGCCCTTGGAACTCCTGTCCCCCAGGAGCCATCTCGTGCTGGGGTGACCTGTCTGGTGGTTTTGCACAGGTCTGTCTCTGTGCATAGGAACGTGTGCACTCACATGGAGGCACATGCGTGTTGGATGTCTGTGTGCGGCTCAGGCCCAGGTCAATGCACCTACAGAGGCTGCCACACCTCCTCCCCCGCCCCGGGTGCTCCACCCTTCAGCACCACGGACAGAGCCCGACTCACGGCAGGTGTCCGGAGTCCGCCAGGACACACACAGGCCCGCGTCGTGGCAAGCCTGGGCGTAGGCAGCCACAGCCGTGCAGAAACACTCGCAGTCACCACCCGAGTCACAGGCACACGCGTCGTTCACGCAGGCCTCGTAGTACTTGGTGGAGTCAACCTGGGGGTGAGGCCAAGGTGCAGCTCAGCTGGGCCAAGGTCCCCCCAGGCCAGGGGGCGGCTGGCCCAGGGCCAGTTGCTGGAACCATTTGTATTTCAACACCCCCCATGGCAGCTCTCTGAGCTCCCTGACTCCTGGGTCCTGGAATACCTCAGAGCATGCCCCAAATCGGAGCTGCCCCAGCACCACTTCTCCAGCCCACCTGTGCCCTTTTCCAGCTATATCCCTGCCCACCTGCCCAACTGTACACCTGCCCACCTATGCACCTGCCCATATGCCCACCTGTGCACCTGCCCATCTGCCCATCTGCCCATCTGTCCACCTGCCCACCTGTGCACCTGCCCATATGCCCACCTGTGCACCTGTCCATCTGCCTGCCTTCACATGTGCTCTTTGGATGTTTCTATCACGTGGATCTGGTCATGTGGCCCACAGGTTTCAAACCCACGTGGAGGATAGCACCCCTGCTCACCCTCTGCCCTCACCCCCACCTCCCTCCGCTGCAGTTGTACTGGCCTCCTTTCCACTTGGGGGCCTTCCCTCCAGCCGACCCAACCCCATGGTGACCCCCACCCAGGGCCCTCCAAGTCCGAGCACCCAACCACCCAGTGCCCACCACACTGCTGTCTCCTCTCGAAGCTCTATGAGGGTCGGCCTTGTCCCCTGGGGTGACGAGGGGTCACTGGGGTGAGCCCAGAACATGCCAGGCTCTTCCAGGCACCCAGTGAACGTGCACTAAGGAAGGAGCGGTCACTTCCTTTCTAGACCAGCCACGTAGGGAGCTGAGCTGTGAACCTGTCCTGACCATTGGGAGCTGCCTGCTTCCTCGAGGCAGCCCACACTCCTTCCAGGCCCCATCTGAACCTGGCTCAGCTTTGTCAGGCCACAGGACCTTCCAAGGGGACACCAGCTGCCTTCTCAAGAGGGCAAGCGGCGGCCAACATGAGAATCTTCAGGGCCTCCCACGAGCGAGTGTGCTCACTGCTGCCCCTATGCCAGCCCCTCACCTCAGCTCCTAACCGCCATGCTGTGTGCCTAAGTGGGCACTCAAGTCTTCCTTAAGATGACAGGAAACTGCTTTTTGGTTTTTTGGTGTTTTGTTTTGAAACAGAGTCTCACTCTTTTTGCTCAGGCTGGTGTGCAGTGGCGCGATCTCGGCTCACTGCAACGTCCTCCTCCCGGGTTCAAGTGATTCTCCTGCCTCAGCCTCCCGAGTAGCTGGGATTATAGGCACCCACCACCACACCCATCTAATTTTTGTATTTTTAGTAGAGACAGGGTTTCACCATGTTGGCCAGGCTGGTCTCGAACCCCTGACCTCAGGTGATCCACCTGCCTCAGCCTCTCAAAGTGCTGGGATTACAGGCGTGAGCCGCTGCGCCCAGTCAGGAAACTGCTTTTTGGAAGTCTCTGCTTAAGGCTGATCTGTGATTCCTCCCGGGCTGGGCGGGGAGCCAGGCTGGCATTCCAGTTTGTGCTGAGGATTGGGCAGGTCTAGGGATCACAGAGGAGGGTGGCTGGGGCCACATCGAGGGCTACCCCTCCCTGAGAGCCTCTGGGTGCGGCTGAGGCTGTGGTCAAGGGAGTGGCTGGGAAACAGCCGAGATGGCTTCGTGCCAGGGGCAGGAGGCACAGGTGCGGGGCTGATGAGAGATCCAGACTTGGGACCTGACATCCAGGACCGTGTGCCGTGGGACATGGTCAGACCCTCCTTGGAGCCCTGCTGTGTGCCCAGAAGACCCAGTTCTCGGCGGGAAGGAAGCAGCTGCCGTCCCCACCAGACCCTGCCTGCCAAGACCAGAGCCCCACCTGGGAGCGGCAGGCGGCGAAGGTAGGACCGTGGAGGATGCTGCACTGCTTCTGGGCCCAGGACTTGCGGAAGGGGTTGGCCGTGCAGGGGTCCTTCGGCGCCAGGGCGTCTGGGCAGGACGGGGAGAGCTTCCAACTGTTCCCAAACTCCAGTGCGTCCCCCACCACAGACCGGCTACGCGTGGCAAAGTCATTGATGGCATGGTCGTCGAAGTTCCCGCACAGGCCGCAGACCCTGCCCTGCAGAGGCAGCAAGAAAGTGAGGCCCTGGAGCTGGGGCCACAGGCACCTGTGGGAGGCAGCACAGAGCCTGCCCTGGGGTCCAGAGCCCTCGGGGGATGGAGGGAGGGCAGCCGGTTCCCCAGGCAGTGCCCGGTGAACTTGCAGGGGACAGGTGTGCAGTGGGTCTGTGCGTGGGCTGCCGGGTGGCACCTGCTCCCCTGTAAAACCCTCTGCCCACTGTGGAGGCCACAGGCAGGGCCCTCACCAGCCAGGCTCATGTACCCACAGGTCAGTGAGTCCCACAGGCCCCACCAGGCACTGGGGTTTCTCTTGCTGTGAGAGGGTCCTGCAGGGCCGAGGAGTGCACGGCCCGAGCTCACCTTGTAGTCCTGGTGCAGTCGGATGAACACACTGGTCTTCCGGTCCCAGGACACGGCCATCCCGCGGGTCTCGATGACCAGGAAGATCCCCATGTAGCGGATCTTGTAGGGCGGGTCCCCGCCCGGCCCCCTCGCCACTGCCTTAAAGGCACCCTCCTGGAGGATCAGCTCGTAGCTCTGCAGGGGAGGCAGAGGCGGCCAGAAGCTGACCCTGTGGCCCCCGGGGAGGGGCCTGAGACCCAGGGATGCCCCACCCAGTACAGGGCCCTGCAGGTGCGCACGGGCTCTTGGCACAAGGGGCTGTCATTAGGAACGAGCTGGGTCCACGAGACCCTCAGCGGAGGTTTGGCAAGAGGCTGGCCAGGAAGTGCTGGGAACAGGGGCTGCCTGGGAACGCTGGGGCCTCACGGGAGCAGCAGAGGCCGCAGTGGGCCGGCTCCACCCCACCCTGCTCCCTATCCAGCCCTGCATGCAGCCCCCACAACCTCACACCAGCCTCCCCGATCCGCTGTGGTCCTCAGCCCCTCTCGCCATGTGCAGGGAGTGTCCCGGCCAGTGGCTCTTTCTCTCGGGGAGCTCTGGCCCCCCTTTGCTGGGGTGGGTGTCTCTGGGTGTGGCAGGGTGAATGGTGGCTCCTGAAAATGTCTGTCCACATACAAAGTCCCAGAACCTTGGCCTGGGGCCTCGTTGGGAGAAAGAGTCTCTGCAGATGGGATTGAGTGAGCATCTTGAAATGAGGTCGTCCTGGACTACCTGGGGGGCCCTAAATCCAAGGACCAGTGTCCTTACAAGAGACAGAAGAGAAAAACAAAAACAAAAAGAGAAGACAGACACAGACACAGCGGGAGGTCACAGGCAGCCGCAGCCCAGGGACGCCTGCAGCCCATGAAGCTGGGAGAGGCAGGAAGGACCTCCTCAGACCCTCAACAGGGAGTGTGGTCCTACCCGCCTGGATCTCTGACTTCCGGCTCCAGGACTGAGAATGCATTTCTGTTGTCTAAGCCCCCTGGTTTGTGGCTGTTTGGAACAGCATCCCGGGGCCAGGACACTGCTGAGAACCTGTGGGTGCAGCTGAAGCCTCACGAAGCTTCCCTGGGGGCCGGCTCGCTGGCTGCAGGGTCAGGGGACTCACAGCCGGGGCCGCTCTCACCTCCACGAAGAGCTTGATGGCCTTGGAGCAGGTGGTGCCGGTGGTCCCACAGGGGATGTTCTCGGTGACGATGCGGAAGGTCCCGTGGGTGGCGTCGTCCCCACAGTAGTCCTGGGCCAGGAAGAGACAAGCTGCTGGCCGCGGGCCGGAGCGTGCCCAGCCTGCAGGAGCGGGCGAGGGGGCGGCGTACCTGGGCCAGGATGTACTCGCAACTGCCTTCAAAGCTGTAACGCTCGCCATCAAAGGTGATGAAGTGGCCATCCCCGTAGGCCACGCAGGTGCCCAGGCAGAGCCGGTGGCTGCACTCCCACCTCCGGTTTCTGCAGGTGCTGCGAGGGGCCAGGGACGGAGCCTGCTCACAGGGGCCTGCCCTCCTGGCCGTCCTGAGACCCGGCACCCAGGCCTGTGCAGGTCAGCACACGGCCTCAGCCTCCCCAGGCCCAGTCTGACCCGTCCTCGGTGGAAGGGGTGGCGTTCCCCACTGTGAATGCAGGGCACGCAGCCTCACCAGGCTCCTGGTAGCACCACTGGCCCTAGGCCACCTTCCAGAGGACGCACAGGACGGCCCATGGCTTTCCCAGCAACTCTGTCTCCTGTTACGACCCCATCTTGCCCTGGCCAGCTGGCCCCCTGCCCTCCCCACCCACTGCCCTCCCTGCTCCCTTCCCTCCCCGCCCGCTGCCCTCCCCACCCACTGCCCTCCCTGAGCCCTTCCCTCCCCGCCCGCTGCCCTCCCTGCCCGCTGCCTCCGAGGGACCCACGACCCACCAGGTGTTGCAGTCGACCCTGATGGTGTCTCCAGGCTTGTAGGTGGCCTCGTTGTGCACGCAGGGGCAGTCCTCCTCGGCGATGCAGCCCCCACTCCCATCTGACACCAGCCCCGGGGGACAGACACAGCCGGACACGCAGTGTGTGCTGAACTGTGGGGCCCAGGCAGGTACCAGTCAGGGCCGGACACCAGGGTAGGCAGATGCCACTCACCCTCTGGGACAGGCGCACCCAGTGGCCCCCAGGGCAATTCACGGGCCGGGGCGGAGCTTCCGGGTGGGTAAGTGTCTCCAGGACCACCAGATCCCTGGGCTCGGGAGCTGGGAAAGCTGGGACCCCTTCCCTGCCCACCCCTCCCTGAAGCACGGGACAGCCGGGGCCAGGAACTCACACAGCCCACGTCCAGCGTGTGGCAGCTTCGGAGGCACTCGGCCCCAGGGGTGCCCGCCAAGCTGTTGCTGCAGTTCAGGTACACCATGGGGGCCACACACCCTGGGGGCAGAGCTTGGTGGGAGGGGTTCTGGGGAAGGGCAGCCCTCGACTGACCCTGGGCAGCCCTGAGCCTGTCCTGCTGGCCAAGCTAGCAGCCCCCGAGCCAAAGCTTCCATGAAACCTGCAGCCCCCAACCCCAGGACACCCCGGCCACACTGCGGGGCAGAGACCCATTGGCTCCTCTGTCCCTGGCGTGTCGGGGCATGGGTGCCTGTGGCAGAGCCCAGGTGAGGACTGACCTGGTCCGGCAGGGCTCAGGTGGGGTGGGGCGAGTCGGGGCGAGGCGGGGCGGGGCTGTGCGTGGCTGTGCGTGGCGGGGCGGGGCGGGGCGGGGCGGGGCGGGGCAGTGTGGGGCGGGGTGCCATCTACCTGTGCTTTTCTGCAGAGAGGCTCCCAGGCAGCTCAGCTTCCCACCCTCACACGAACTACAAGAGATGGACGGCCCGGCCTGGACCTGCCGCCCTCACCCCACAGACCCCACCCCCAGGCTCCCGAGCACCCACAGAGCGCTGGGCCTCCCCAGCCTGGCTTCCTCCTCGTGAGACCGAACAGTGCCTGCCACTGTTCGCTGGGAGGCGCGTGGGTAAATACACACAGGTGGGCGACAAAGCAGCCAGGACCCTGCGGTTAGCAGCAGCCTTTGAACCCAGGGTGGGAGTGGGGGCCACCCACCTTTCCTGGCAGGGGCTGCTGTTTGGACCCAGCTGAGAACAGCCAGCAGGCGTCCTCCCAGGGCCACCTCCACTCCTGGCCTCTTTCCCAGCCGGGAATTTTCTCTTTAGAATGTGCTGGGTCCACCCTGCGCCGCCCTCCCCAGCCTGGCCCCTCGTGTCTCAGAACCCTCGTGGGGAGGCACAGAAGCCTTCGGGGAGGGCGGGAGGTGGCTTTGAGGAGCACTCAGGGACCTGCTTTCCCCCCTGCCCAGCCCCTTACCACACAGCGCCTTCGTCGTGCACGACCTCTCCAGGAGCCAGCACGGTGCCGTGAACGTAGCAGGGGCACTCCCGGGCGGGCACACAGGCGCCCGCGTCATTGAGGAAGGTGCCCGTGGGGCAGGTGCAGCCGTCCACAGGCACAAAGGAAACGCTGCAGGTGACGTCGGCCTCACTCAGGCCTCGGCAAGTCGGCTGGCAGGCGTCCACCACGTAGGCATAGCTCTGGGACTTGGGGCAGTTCTGCATGTACTTGGCTATGGTCGGTGGGGCCAGGGAGGACAGGTCAGCGGCCGAGCAGCCTGGCCAGCCCCCGCCCACCCCATCTTCAACTCAGCATCCCTGTCTGTGATGTGGTGATCGCAAGGATACAAGGTTCTTGCGAGGCTGGGATGAGGAGGCACAAAGCTCTGGGCTGAGAACCGTGTGAGTGACGGCTGCTGCCGGCCAGGGTCCCCCGCACCCCACGCAGCGTGGACACATCCCCCCTCCAGTGCAGGCACTCACTGCAGACGCCGTCCCTCCAGCCGCTGAGCTGCACGCCCTTGGCGGCACAGGCGTGCACATAGGAGGACAGCGCGGCGCACAGGCAGTCCTCGCTCCGCTCACAGTTGCAGGTGTCAAACAGGCAGTTCTGCGGAGGTGGGCGGGCGTCGGGGCGTCAGGGACCCCAGCCCACCAGGGCTCCCCCACCCATCCCACCCAGGGGTAGGGATCTGGCCTCACGGCCTCTTACCGAGTGGAAGGGCTTGGGGTTGATGACGGAGTGGCAGCGCGAGAAGGAGCCGGTGGGGTCAGTCAGGCGTGAGCACCAGTGCCGGGCGTAGTTCTCTGTGGGGAAGACCCGGCCCCATCTCCATGCCCTGCCACAAAGCCCACACCCCCAACACACAGGCCTGCACCCCCTCAGCCTGGGGAACAGTGAGCTGGAATTTGGGGCTTACCTGCCGCGCCTTGGGGGATTCTGGCCGCCTGGTCCCAAGCACCTCGTCCCGATGCCTCCCACCCGCCTCCATGGGGTCCCCAATCCCACCCGTGGCCCAGGGGACAGGAAGGTGCTAGGTGGCACTTGAGCCTGGGGTGACTGTGGGGGTGGGGGCCAGGAGTACCATTCTCCACACTGAGGGAGCAGGGGTCCTCAAAGCTGTTCCTGGCACTGGTGCAGGTGGCCTGGGCCTTCCAGGTGTTGGCGAAGGCTGCGCCTGTGGCCTCCACCACCCCACTGAGGGCTGCGAAGTCGTCAGCCTGGTTCTGGTTGAAGTTCCCACACAGGCCTGCGAGCCAGGGTTGGGGGATGTCAGCAGCCGCGGTTGGGCCCACCCGGCTCCCGCCCCTGCCATCCCTCCAGGCACCACACAGGGTGGAACGGCTGGGAGCTCTGTCCCAGGATTCTGCTTCCAGAACCCTCTGCAGATAAGCCCCAGTGGGGGGCAGCCCCTGTGCAAAGCTGGCCTGAGCCAGGGCAGGGCTGCCCGCTCCATCCTCCCGGCTGGTTGCTTCCGGGGCCGCCAGTCAGATGTTGGCGTCCTGTGCTGGCGGCGCCAGGGTCTCCGCCATGCTCTGGGAGCAGCCCTCTCCCTTGTCCCCTGCCCGCCTCTGCCTGCCCCTCCCTGCAGCCTGGCGCTAGTCCAGGCCCCGTCCCCACTGGCCCTGTCCCCGAAGGCTCCTGCCCAGCCTCACCGCACATCTGGCCCTGGTGGGCGGGGTCCAGCCTGACAAACACCTGCATGAGCGGCACCAGCTGCACCAGCAGCTGCAGCCCGAGGCCTGTGTGCACTACGATGAAGAAGCTCGAGGGTGTGAACAGGGTGATGTTGGCTGCCGGGAGTGTGGGAGAGAGGCCGGTCAGGGGTGCAGGGCCAGATCTGGCCAGATTGGAGGGGCAGGGCATCCAGTGGGCCGGGCCACCCCACTGAGACCCGGGAATGAGACCCAGGAGTGGCCAGGAGCCCTCATGCTCCCTGTCCCAGGCCTGTGGCCACCAAGCCGGCTCAGGTGGAGACTCTAGGCTCCCCGACAGAGTGGGACTGAGCGAGCTGGATGTGGGTTCCCCACAGCTACCTGGATGGGAGCCTGGCATTCCCACTCTGCAGATGAGAAACCGAGCACAGGAAGCTCTTGGAGCTGCCCAAGGCCACGGAGAGCTAGCAGGGGATGGAGCGGACACTGCCCAGATCGTGGGAGCTGCCCCTGCTAGGAGGCGCCACCCGGCCCAGCCATCCTGGGAGAGCCACGTACCTGCCGACAGGGGCAGCTGCGTGTAGATGGAGTTGAGGAACACGCTGCCGTCTGCCTGGACCCGGATGGCCTGTGGGAGGAGGCGGGCAGGAGGTCAGCTCTGCGGAGGAACCTGTTCCCGACTCTCAAATGAGGGGGTGGCCTGCCCAGGGGCCCCCACTGGGGACAGCCCACAAGAAGCTCAGGCCTGGACCTGCGGTGGGCTCTGCATTTCCCTCCCGGGAGGGCCTGACCTTGGAGCTGGAGGGGGGACCTGACTTTGGGGCTGGAGGGGGGACCTGACTTGGGCTGGAGGGGGGACCTGACCTGAGGGCGGGAGGGGGGACCCCACCTCGGGGCGGGAGGGGGGACCTGACCGTGCTCACTCCCTGCACATCTTCGCACGCCCCTTCCTGTCCCAGCCTAGGGCCCCAGCCAGGCCCTTACCGTGTCCCCGCCGTCCATGCTAAGAGTAACTCACCGTGTCCCCGCCGTCCAGGCTGAGCGTCACGGCCTTCAGGCAGTTCTCGTTGTCCGTCAGTCCACACTTCCGCAGTTCGGCCAGCACGGTGAAGCTGCCATCAGCACATTTCTGGGGGAAGGACCCACGCGTGCATTGGGCCTGGCTCGATGATGTGGGGGCCCCCCAAAAGCGTGCTGGGGACGCCCATGTGGGGGATGTGGCTCTGTGAGGAGGTGTCCCTTGGCACCTCTGGTCACCTCCCAGCAGCTTGTCTCAGGGCCTGGGGGCTTCTTGGCCCTGTGATGCTCAGCAGGGAGAACCACCCCTCTATGACCATCATGGGGACCCAGAGCTTCCCCCCAGCAGGAACATCCGGCCTTCTATGACCATCGTGGAGGCCTCCCCTGGGCGGAAGGGGCGTGAGGATCCCGGGAGGACCTGGGTGTCCGAAGACCCGGCCCTGTGCCCAGACCTTGGACAGAACGTAGCTGCAGTCGCCATGCAGGTCGTAAAGTTTCTCGTCGTAGGTGGTGATGTGGGCCCCGCCCTGCACGGAGCAGGTGCCAGGGCACGGCAGGTCCTGGCACTGCCACAGCCCCCCAGAGCAGGTGCTGGGGAGGGAGGCCATGAGCAGAACAGACATGTCAGGAGGAGGTGGGCTCCACCCTCCACACCCCCACCCCAGGCAGAGGCTGGCAGGTGCACACCAGGAGCTCCACACCCCACCCCAGGCAGAGGTTGGTGGGTTCATAGGTACCAGGAGCTGCAGGTGGTGTTGACGGAGGCGCCCGGGCTGTAGGTGCGGCCGCCGTGGGTGCAGGGGCACTGCCCGAGGGGCAGGCAGCCAGAGTGCGTGACATCATCCAGCACCGTGCCTGTGGGGCAGGGCGTGAGGCAGGACCGGCCCATGCACGGGGGACACCAAGGTCAGAAGACCCCAGCCTTGGGGACAAGCCACCTCCCTCGGGGAGGAACTCCTGCTCCAGGACACCACCCCTGCCCTGAGCCCCACCCACTTGGATGAACACCAAGCACCTCTGGGCCTCAGTTTCCCTACCAGACCCAACTGGCTCATGGCACTGCTCTGCCTCCCTCCACGCATCGTCGGGTCTTCCGGCACCCTCCCAGCCAGTGCCCTTCCCACCCTGGGCCCTCTGGTGGGACCCTCTGGCATGAGGGGCTCTGCTTCCAGGCCTGATGAGGCTGGGGGCGGGGCTGGGAACAGGGACCTGAAAGCCCCCTGAGGGGGCCCAGGGCACGAGAGACCTGCCTGGGGGGCAGAAGCAGCCGTCCACGCAGTGGTCTTCGCAGAGCTGTGCGCGCTGGGGGTTGGAGCAGGTGTCCACGCAAGGTGAGCCACACTCCCGGTGCTGCATGTTGACGGGGCAGGTCCGGGCTGCACAAAAGGAGGCGGAGCTGGGCCAGGGGAAGGGCCCTGTACTGCCCGCGTGGTCAGCCCCAGCCACCTTCCACCGCCTTCCACTTGCCGCCAAGTCCAAAGAAGCCAGAGCTGGGCCTCAGGGTGGCCCTGATGCCCCTCATCATGGCAGCTCCTCCCTCCAGTCCCAGTCCCCGCCACCTGCACAGCCTCTTCTTCTCCTGCAGCCCCCGGAGGCACCATCCCCTCCTGGGGTCCTGGGGTGGCCTCTGCCCACTATGCCTGGGGTGTGTCCTTTGCCCTCCATCCCTGTCCCCCAGGCCTCCCCACCCGCCTATGGCCCCCAAAGCGTTCCCCCTGCCCCTTCTCTCCAGCACAATCCTTGGCAAAGGCCCTGGGAGCACTCACGGCAGAGCTCAGGGCGCCTCCAGTTCTGCGGCTGGCCCCCCGCGTGGGCGCACTGGCGTGAGTATTCCACAAAGGTGGCGCACGGGCAGGTGGGGCAGCGGCACAGGTCCTGGGCGCAGGCAGCCAGGTACGGGGCAGTGTCCACCAGTGCATGGCACTCCGCAAAGGCCGGCCCCAGCAGGGTGTGGTGGCAAATGCCTTCCTGGGGAGCACAGTGGGCCAGGCTGGTCACCCCTGCCCTCCATGGGGGCTGCCACAGTGCTGGAACAGGACCCATGGCAGGCCAGGCTGGGAAGCCCTCTCCTCATCAGGGTTTCTTGTACCCAGCCCCATCCCTTCCACCCACTGTGGCCATGTAGCTGCCGGTGCAGAGCTCTGCTTGGCCCTTGGGGGGTGACCCATGACTCTGAATCCCCTACCTGGGATGTGGCTGCCCACGGAGTGAGCGCTCAAGAAAGGTGCAGACCCCGCCCCAGGAGGCGGAGCCAAGGAGGGGAGGTGGAGGCCCCGCCTCTCTGAAGAAAGGTGCAGACCCTGCCCCAGGAGGCGGAGCCAAGGAGGGGAGGTGCAGGCCCCGCCCCAGGAGGCAGAGCCAAGGAGGGCAGGTGCAGGCCCCGCCCCAGGAGGCAGAGCCAAGGAGGGGAGGTGGAGGCCCTGCCTCTCCTGGTAGCCTGGCAAGTTCAGGGCAGTCCAGTGCTGAGTGTCGTCCCTTCCCAGGCCCCGGGCTGCTGGCTGTGGGGCCCAGCTCCCAGAGGGGCTGCTGCTGTCATTCAATGCCCAATTTAGGCTCAGAGATTCTGCTGATTTAGGGATCCTGGAGCCTCCAGGCCCCTTCTGAGTCCCCCTGCTGGTGGGAAGAGCTGGCTCCAGGCTCCCCAAGTACCCACCCTCAGCCCAGCCCGTGCAGCACGGGCCTATATTTGCTCGCACAGCTTGTCACACGCGTGGCCTGAGGAACACACACATCACCACACTTGGACAGTGTGTACCATGGAACTGAGCACACAGAGGGTGGCTGCCAGGCCTCCCTCCAACACCACCATCTCTCTTCCAGCTGGGAACGTTCCTCAGACCTCGGCCTGGCTCCCCCTGGACCTGGAGGCCGTCCCTGCCCAGGAGCGAGGGGCTCACCTCTGGAGGCCGTCCCTGCCCAGAAGCTGGGGGCTGGGGGGAAACTCACCTCATCTGTGCAGTTGCTGGCTGGCAAGGGCAGCGGGTCCGGGCACTGCTCCGTGGGCCCATCCAACTTCTGCAGGTTCCCAAACTGGAGCGGGGTCAGTCTGGCATCTGCCGGGAAGAAAGTAGGAGTGTGGTGGCTCTGAGGGGATCCTGGGGACAGGGTATGGGCTCCCACTTCCTGAGCCCAGGCCAGAGGACTCCCACTCCTGCCTAGGGCCCGATGTGCCCGAGGGGCGCTCCTCCCACCATGTAGGGCACAGCCCTTGTGACCCCTCCCTGCCCGGTGCCCGGTCCCCACTCCACCCCTCCCAGCCTCCATGGGACTGTGACCCTTGGCTGGCTGACATAATCGGTCACCGCCCCCTCGCCCAGGTGGCACTCACTGTGGGCATAGAACTCGTTGAAGGCTGGGAGGCCGTTGAAGTCCCCGCACAGGCCACAGGTCTGGTTGGCGTATTTGGGGTCCAGCTCCAGCTGAGGGTAGGGGAGGAGCAGCTCCAGCCTCAGGACTTCTGATCCCCCCACTGGCAACCTGCCCCAAGCCCTGGGACCCCAAGCCCAGGGAGGCATCCCTCGACCCCTGTGGGGGTTTTGTGGCCAGGCCTGGAGGGGCAAGGGACGAGAGGGCTTCCTCACCAGGGCACTGTCCTCTCCGTTCCACAGGAAGGTCAGGACCAGCCGGATGCTGACCTTGACGTAGTCCCCACTCTGCTCCACCAGGAGCCCAGTGCGGCTGTAAGGCAGCTCCTCCCTGCACAGACAGCTGGGTCTCTCCCTGGGCCCTGGCTGCCTGCCCGCCCGCCCAACCCCACCCCAGCCCTGGCCCAGGTCAGACACGGCCGTGTGGGGAGGTCACACCACGTGGCCCGGCCCTCGCCTCTCCCCAGGGTGGCCAGCTCACCGCTGCCCGTTGACGAGGACAGAGCCATTGGACGCCTCTAGCACCAGCCCCTGGGCCTTGATGACAACACGGGTGACCACAGGCCTGGAGCCCACCAGGCCTCTGCGTAGCTGGACGTTGAAGTCCTCATAGGCGGCGCCGCAGTGCTCGGAGAACACGTAGTTGCAGAGGCCGGGGAAGCGGAAGACGTCACCGTCGAAGGTCTTGTAGTGGAAGTCGCCCCAGGTGCTGCACACCCGCCCGTTGTGTGCCGGGTTCAGGGCTGTGGGGAGCGTGGGATGAGGCCCACCCCCATGCCAGCCCCCCACGGGGTAGCCTTCCCTGGGCTGAGGTGCCCTGGTTTTTGGAGCAGAAAAGCCCATGGTCGGCTGCTGGCTGTGCCCTGCCTGGTTCACCCTGGGCTGCCTCTGTTTCGCTCGAAGACCCCTGACCCGTCCCCATCCCCCAGGGCGGCCAGTGATCAGGAGACCGCCCAGAGGGAGGACTCTGGGTCTGGCCCAATGGCCCCACCTGGTGGCAGCTGCACCCCTAGATCTGGGCCCCCACCTTTGGGGCTGGCAAACACCCCCTTCCCAGCCGGCAGGGACGGCGTCTGCTTACGGCTCAGGCTGGGGAAGACAGTGACGGGTGGAACAAAGCTCACACGCCGGGTGGGCGAGGCCATCGGGGCACCTGTGGGCGAAGGCCGGTCATCCCAGGAACGTGGCCGGGAAGGGGCAGCAGAGACACCCTCCCCGGGTCCCACCCTCCTCGCCAGCCACCAGAGTTGAAGGGGAGCCCGAAACTGATGGGCTGGGGGCAAGGCAGCCCCTTCACCCTTGGCCCTGTCTGCTCACAAACACTGCTGCCTTGTGTTTTGGCCTGTGTGCACACGTGTGTGTGCTGGTGCAAGTGTGGGCGCATGTGTGCCTGCACGTGTGTGCGTGTGTGTGTGCACGTCTCTCTGCTTTGCACTTTCCTCTTCTTTGGAGCGTCCAGCTCCGCCTCAGGTGCCGGGCATTGTCCTGGGCAGGGGACCCAGGGAGGGTCTCTGTCGGACGCATGGCTGCTTGGAGAGGCCTCTGTCTGCCCCAGCCCAAATCCCAGCACCTCCAGCCTGGTCAGGAACCCCCCACCCGAGCCTGGCCACATACCGCCATCTGTGGTGTGCCCTGCACTGCCCCAGCTCGGCTCCGCAGGGCCCTGGGTCTCTGTGGGAAGAGGGGATGGGAGTCAGTGAGGAACCAGATGTGGCTGCCGGCCACGAACCTGACCGTGGACCCGGCCACATCCCTGGTGCGGCAGCCTCATGTGGGGTCCACGGTGACGGTCTCCACGCTCTGCAGGGTCACCCGCACGGCACACTCTGGCCAAGGCCGGGACTCCTCCCCAGCCGCTCAGGCCACCGCAACCGTCAACCACAGATGCCTCCCCTGCCACTCAATGCTATGGAAAGCCTGTGGGATGGAAGCTTCCAGCAGGGAGCCCTGAGCTGACCCCGGCACGACCTGCATCTGTCCAGAGACCCCAGCCCTCCCCAACTGACATGCGGGGATGGTGCCTCCTTCTGAAGTGATGGGGGAGAAAATGGAATCAGGAAAAGGCGTTGGCCGCCCAAGGGGGGATTCCGCCTCATCCCACACGTCCCCTGGAGAAGGACAAAGGCCAGCTTTGTTGGGAGGACACACTTGGAACCTTCCAGGCGTGACTTAGCAGAAACCTAAGCCCAGAACCAGTTTCGATCCCTAAGTCCGGGAGAGTGGGGCGGGGTGGGGGCAGGCCTCAGGGCTATGAGGCTATAGATACTGGGATGGCGCCAAGGTCCCCCAGGCTGACCACCGCCTCCGGGCAAGGCCTCACCCACCAGTCCCATGGAGGCTGGACTCTGGGCTGAGAGCCTGGGAAGAGGCAGCTCCAACCCCCAGGACTCTGAGGCCCCCTGGCCCCCAGGCCATTGTCTGCTCGGTTTGGGTTGGGGTGCCCCCTTCACTGGGCCCCAGAGCTCCTCCCTGGAGCCTGATCAGAGATGGCCCAGCCCAAACCTGTGCTTCCTGGGGAGGCGGGAGGTGAGGCCCCAGCCCCCACAGCACGGTCAGGGCTCAGCGAGGGGCTGGCCCCTGTGGTTTGCGCTCTGGCCTGGCCCTGCCTGGCTTTTCCAGTCAGGTCCTGCTGACATCTGGGAACCACAGCAGGGGCCGCCTCCAGAGGTCCAGGTTGACTGCCTTTCCCAGAAGGCCAGCCGCTCCCTGTGTCCTCCACCCCAACCCCCAGCCCACAGCCCTGCCCACGTGTGCCGGCCCACTCAGCCACTCCCACGCACTGGCGCCCACCCCAGGCAGCCCCTCCCTATCCCAGGGAGCCCCTCCCCACCCCAGCAGCCCCTGCCTAGCCCCAGGCAGCCCTTCCCCACCCAGGCAGCCCCTCCCCACCCAGGCTGACCGCCCTTGGTCATCTGCTCCATGCCGTGCCCTCTTTGGACTGGGCCACCTGGGCCTCCATCTTGAGGCCAGAGAAGTGCCCGCCACCAGCCCTCCCATCACCCTGGGGTGTGTCCCCTAACGTGAAGCCGCTCTGTGCAGGGCCCGCCTTGCCCCGGCCATAGGACGTGCATCTTGTGACTAAAGCACAGTCCCTGCCGAGGGCTTGATCTCCCCAACTTGGATGTGCATGGAGGACCAGAGGACGTGGGGGCTGACAGTCCCTGGGTCCTGCCTGCTCGGGTGAGGGGAGCCCAGGCTGCATGGCCTGGAAGAAATAGATGCAAGGATGTGGCTATTCTGGTCAAACCAGCACCCAAACCTTGTGGTCAGAGGCAGCTCCCCCCGGGCCCAGGCTGGGAGCCACTGGGGGAAGCCGCCTACCTCCAGCCCTGCTGACCACCCAGCCTCCCTTCCACAGACAGAGAGAGCCCCCGGGGAGCCTCGCCTGCCCAGCCCAGACCCCAAGCTTGGGAGGGGGTGGACAGCAGGGCAGGGAGGGACTGCAGCTGCCTCTTGGCCAGCCCGGCTGGGTGTCTCCAGGTGGCCCCTGGGGCCGCATCTTTCTCTGTTGACAGTAAGTATTAAAGCTGCGGCTCTGGCCAAGAGATGGCAGACGAGGGAAAATGCTTGGCTGAGAGCCAGGCAGCCCGTGCGGCCTGAGATGCCCGCAGATGACCTGTGGGAGTCACGCGTGGGTTGAGGCCAGGGCTCTCGCGGCTGGCTGTGTAACCCTTGAGGGTGGTGCCCTCACCTGCCCTGCCAGCTGTGATCCCCAGGCTGGTCGTGAAGGGCAAAGCCGGTCCTGGGCAGGGGCCCACACTAAGCCCACCCCTGCTTACTGTGATGCCTGGGCCTCACAGGGCTCCAGAGAGACCCGCAGCCGTGGCCCCCTCCCCCATTGCCCACTCCTGTCTCACCCCCAAGACCAAGACCCTTTCGGTGGTCTCCCAGGGTCCTTGCCCTGCAGTCAGGGGCCCAACTTCCCCTGGACATCCCATCCAAGCCAGTCCCTGAGTTCCCTGACACTGTGGGCCCATGGGGCCAGGGAGCTCTGTGCTGGGGACACGTAGGGTCCTATCGAGCTCTGTGTTGGGGACACATAGGGTCCCATCCAGGACACTCGGGATCCTAGGGGATCTGCCCGTCCACTCTGCAGGAGAAGCTCCCAGGCAAGCGGCCTGCAGAGATCCCCACCGTGAAGACGGCATCCTAGAGGGGGCTGAGTCGGGGGGCTCTTACCTGCCTGCTGCACCAGGAGCACGGCCGCCAGAGCCAACACCAGCGTCCGGCACGTGCTCAGGGCACCCATCCTGGGGACTGGCACAGGTGGGGGGCACGGACGGGCAGGGAGGGAACTGGGCCGGGTGCTTGTTCCCCTGGGGGCCCCAGCTTATGTAGCAGGGAGTGTTGGCCCCAAGCCAGGCCAGGCCACGCAGGGCACCCTGCTCTTTCCCGCGCCCGCCACGTGTGTTTGCTCTCGGGGAGGGGCTGTGGCAGGGGAGAGGCCTGGATCAGGAAGGATTTGCAGCTCTGTGCCCTGAGGCCCAGGACGCCCCCACCCCCAGCAGCTTCTGAGAATCGGAAGGGAGAGGAGAAGGGCCCGTCCCGCCTGGCACCTTCCTAGATGGCAAAGCTGCTGGAGGGCAGGGCTGGCCTTGGGCACAGGGTCCCTGGAAACGGTGGTCAGCCAGCCTGTCTCACACTCAGCCCCACTCCGCTCCACTGGGAGGGAACCCCAGCCTCTGGGCAGCTCCCCCAGCCGCTCACCATGGGTGCCCGAGGCCCGGGGAGGGCCCACGAGGCTGGAGCTCCTCTCCGGCCACTGCTCAGCCAGCGGGAAGGCCAGGAGGCTCCTGCTCAGCTTAGGCGTGCACGTGGCCAGGATGCTCAGGCTGGGTGGCTTGTGGGGGTCCCTGGAGGAGGCCCCATTTCTGGAGATCCCAGCCCAGCTGACCAGAACCCCTTGAAGACCATGGGAGGTCTCTGGGCTCATCTGTTTCAAGGTTCATGTTCAAGGGGAAACTGAAGCCCAGAGTGTCCCCTGGCCATGCACATCGGGAGTCAGCCGTGCTCGTCCAATGCCAGCCCTGGTCCAGCCAGGCCAGAGGCTCCAGCCCTGAGTCCCATTTGGCCTCCACCTCACTCTGGGCCCCTCATTAACCTTGGCAGGGTTGAGGAAGCAGCGGCTCCTGGAGGTCCTGGACCTGCCCGGGGTCCTCAGCCTGCCCCAGGTGGGAGCCGCGGAAGCCTAGCACCTCACACTGGGGCTGGGTGGGCTTCCCTGGGGCCACGTGGTACACCTCCCCAACCAACGTCATCTACGGGGCAGACAGTGTCATCTACAGGACACTCCGTCCGCGCTGTAAACACCTCCTGCAAACGCCTCCTGCCCGTGTGCCCTGCACTTGAGACGCTCCCACCCTCTGGCTCCCTGACCACCAGCGTCCTGAACGCTCCGTGACATGGACCCTAGGTTTCCGGGAAGCACCAGGTCGGGTGGTGTGACCTCGTCCGACCCCACGGGGACCCTAGGTTGGCCTCCAGGTCTGTTGTTTTGTTTGCGTAACAGTCCCCGCCACGGGGGCCCTGCGCCAGCTCCCCCGCGTTTGTCTTTCTGAAGTTAAATTCTTAGAGGTGGAATTTCTGGGGCAAGAGGAAAGCCCATCTTCAAAGCTTCTGACCTGCCTCACACTCAGTAGGACGGCGGGGATCCAGAAACACAGGAAGTAAGAAGTGTTGGCAGAGACGTGGAGACCCGGAGCCCTGTGCCCTGCCGGTGGGGGTGACCAGCACCTCCACTCTGGGTCTGTCCCCGGAAGAACTGAAGGCGGGTCATAAGGGACATTTGCACCCCCATGTTCACAGCAGCATCACTGACAAAGGGCAGAAGCTGCTCATGTGTCCTGGATGGAGGACTGGGCCAGCGTCGTGAGGCCGATCCGTGCGGTGGAATAGAGTTCAGCCGTGAAAAAGAGAGGCTGGCCCAGGTTGCTCCACGAGGGAAGCTGGGGACGCTGTGCCCAGTGAGGTAGGTGGACACAGAGGACAAAGGCAGAAGGGGCCGCTCGTGTGCTGCCCCTGGAGTCATGAAACCCACAGAAACGGAGCATGGACCGTGGGCGCCAGGGGCTGGCAGAGGGGATGGGGAGCTGGTGTTTCATGGGGACAGGGTTTCAGCTTGGGAAGATGAGAACATTCTGGAAACGGAGGGCGGAGACACCTGCACAGCAACGTGAATGGACCTGGCCCATTTTGCCATCTGTCACCCCCTCATGGCTGAGGCCCCCAGGCGACTCCTCAGAGCGCAAGGCCTGTGGCGGAAGCTGGGACCTGCCTTCTCCCTTTGTGGCAGTTTCTTTTCAGGGCACACCTTGGGCTTCTGCCTGGCCCTGTACCTGGGCTGGAGGAGGGTCTCCCAGATCTCAGCACAGTGCAGACCCCTGCTCCCCGCTCACTTCAGGGACTCCGGGGCCTGTGCTCCCCCCACCCCACCGACATCAATTCCAAAGCTGAAGTTTCCGAGGTCTCTGGGGTCTCCAAGCTCCCTTTCATATCCAGGCCGGGAGTCCCCGCTGCAGCACGGCAGGAGGGGTGGGAGGGAATGCCTGGGCCAGGGGACCTTGAGGACGGTCTGGAGGGTGGGCCAGAGCCCCCACCCCTGGCTCATGACTGTGACTGCGCCCAGGCCCCAGCCAGACCCCTCTCCCTGGCCTACCTGCCTGCTCCAGGCCAGGCTGGGCAAATGTGGGGCTCCCTGACGCTGTGGCACCTTGTCCCTCGCACCCGGGGGGAGGGGTGTGCCCGCTGCCCGGGCCTCTACTGCAGACGTCCCCACGACACACCCACCCGGGTCTCCCACCTTGGCCACTAGCCCTTGTGGCCTCCCCACTCCGTGCCCACGGCTCCAGCTTACAAGCTGATGCCCACCTGGGTGCTGGGGCCAAGCCTGGGGTCTCCCCTGCTGGCCCCTACTGCCTGTCCCCTGCCCTCCCTGACCACGGCCAGTGCCTGTGGCCTTCATGGGGGCTGGCGGCCCACTGGGGAGCAGTCCCCTCACCCCCGGCTCCAGCATGCCGGGCACCTCTGCATCAGCGAGATGGCGTTTTCTCCGTGGCAGAGCTGGGACCCTCAGCAGCTCCCCGTCCCAGCTCAGTGCCTGTGGTCCAACCCTCCCCGCCTCCACCCTGGAAGAGCCTCGCCCGCCTGTGGCCACTGGCACGCAGTGACACCAAACAAGTGGGGGCCCTGACTCTGTCCTCGTCCCTCCCACTAGGCACCTCCCCGGGCAGTGCCTCCCACTAGGCTGTCCTCCCTTGGGGACTGGGCTGGGTCCGGGGCAGGGGTCCGAGGTGGACGTCAAGGCCACAGCTATTGAGACATCCCGGATGCGGCCCCGGGAGTCCGGCCTGTTTGCTCAGTGTGTTTGAAGAGTTTGCGTCTTCACAGTTGAAGGCGCTGAAAACAGGAGATAAAGGAGGGAAAGGGACGCAGCCGGTTCCTGCCAGGAAGGGGGGCCGGGCACAGCCTCCTGGAGCGCAGAGGAGCCTCCCACCTCGGACGTGCCAAGAACCTGCCCTGCGGCTCTGACGGGGTCTGAGCCAGGACCAGCCCTGGGCGGGTCACTGTCCATCATCTGGCCAGGGGGTAGTGGGGACAAAGAGGCGGCCTGGGTGACATGGAACCCAAGGGGGATTAATCCCGCCATGAATGAGGACCCACCTGGGACCTCACAGACCCCTCCAGAGGCCGTCCAGGCACCAGTGGTCAGAGCCACCATCTGCTCTCACCAGCTGTCCCAAGCCCAGCCCCTCAGCCCTGGGGGGCCACCTGGGGGGCTTGGCCACTGCAAAGAGTCATCCCTGGGGCTGGGGTCCCCAGGTGGCTCAGCCTTCCCCTCCCCCAACCACAGCGATGCAGGTTTGAGCTGGGCCCTAGTGTCCATCAGCTCCCAAGCACTGAGCCAGACCCTAGGGTCCGTCAGCTCCCAGGCACTGAGCCAGGCCCCAGCTCCACGCTGGACACCTGGGGTGTCAGGCACAGTCCAGGGGGTCACAAAGCAGGGATGGACTCTTGGTCTGCTCAGAGCCAGGCCCCAGGCTGTGCTGGGGACAGGGGGTGGTGGCTGTGTGGGACCCTCCACCTCGGCAGCCTCCTGCTCCCTAGCACGGGGGCCTCCCCCGGCTCCTGGCCACACCCACGCTCCTGGGGGCGCACCTGCTGATAGGCCGAGGGTCCCAGTGTGTTCCAGGCCTCGGGGCCCCTGGCGGGTGACGGGCTGCTTGCTCCTGGGTATTGGGATGGCCAGGCCCCTGGCCCCTGGCCCAGTACACCTGAGGAGGTGTCCAGCAAAGCCCAGGGGTCTCAGAACCAGTGCCTGGTGTCCAGAAGCAGCAGGTGGGGGCACATTGGGTCTTCACGGCCCTCAGACCCTGGCCCACTGAGCGACAGGCACGACTGGGGGCGCCGAATCACCTGGCAGGAGTGAAGCTGCGGGATGGCAGGACCTGGACATTCCAGTGCCCTGAGCTGCCCCTGCTCTAAGGATGCCCTGCACAGGGGCTGCAAGACACGGAGACCCCCCAGGACAGCCCCTGCCCTGTGTGAAGGCCTCGGCTCCCCCACCACCTGTCTCTGGTTTCTCCTGGTCTTTGCACAGACCCCCTTCTCTGCCTGTCTCCCCACCCACTTCGTTCCTGCCAGTTCCGAGGAGCCCCAGCTGGGTCCTGGTGCTGCCCTGGGCAGTGGGATTTGACAAGGACTAGAACAGAGTCCCCCCCCCCCACTTTGAGGCTTCCAGTAGCGTGGCCTTTGCAGCAGCAGCACCAGCTTCCAAGCAAAGAGAGAGGATGGTCCTCTGGGTGGGGTGGGGGGGATGACGGCTGAGCTGCAAACCAGGGAACAGCAGGTGCAGAGACCCCGGGGCAGGGATGGACTCGGCCCCCTGGAGGGTCCGCATGCACCTGGTGTGGCTGGGACACAGGGGGCTGAGAGGAGCCAGAGGTGAGGGCAGGGTCAGGTGTGGGGAGGAGCCTGGGGGCGTGGGGTGAATTGATTGGATCATTTAAAGCAGGAAAGCTATAGGGCATTTTTCTAAAACAGTGGTGAAATGTATGTGACTTAACATTGATCATTTTAGCCTTGTTTGTTTGTTTGTTTATTTATTTATTGTAGAGACGAGGTCTCACTCTGTTGCCCAGGCTGTCATGAACTTCCAGCCTCAAGCGATCCTCCCACCTCAGCCTTCCAAAGTGCTGGGATGACAGGAGTCAGCCACCACACAACCCAATTTGCAATTTTTTTTTTTTTTTGAGATGGAGTCTTGTTCTGTCATCCAGGCTGGAGTGCAGTGGCTCGATCTCA